ATTAAAACATACAAAAACTCCGGCTTGCCATCATTGCGCTCGAGCAACATCTCACTCAGGCGCGAAACTGGCAAAGCAGAGCCGCCCTCCTGAAGCCGCCTGTGCCCAACACACAAATCAAGACACGCAAATCAATACATTGAAACTCAGAGCCCTCTTCCGAGCTCTCTCGTTACAATATCTGCACAGAATCCGTTTAAGAAATGCGAAGCTCTCCCTTGATGTAAATCCAACATTGAAAAGGCAAGTAGTTCGGTATCGGGATGCATGTGAGCTGGTGAACATCTAGAGGCCACAGCATGTGTTGCTGGCGCAGTGCCACTTGCAGTGGCCTGGCACTTACGGAGTCCTCTGCAAGCCTACATCCACCACCAAACACGCGATCTGAGTTCCGACTACCCTGCGCGACATGATGCTCGCAACACGAAGGAACCAACGGGCAGCATGTACCTTTTGGAAATGAAGCGAAACCGGTTGCCGGTGGGGCCGTTGTGCAGGCCTCCGGGCGCGAGCCCAGCAGTTGGTATGGAGCTTTGCATCAAGGAAGTGCCGTGCCGCCTGCAAAAATCTGCAAACATCTGCAAAATTCCAAGGACAGACCAAGGGTGAGCTCAGACCGGGTGGTACCTTGAGGCCGGCGTCGCCGAAAGATTGCATGAGGTTTCGAGCCAGCTGGAGTAGTCTCACGAATGCATTGTTGGCCTGCACAAGATGTACACATCCAGGGCACTGCGAGCACTTCGTCGCAGGGGATCCCTTGCCTCGCTGCTGCCCAAGAGCGCTGCCTCCGTGAAACCCTGATTGTCCGACTCATGCCTGCAAGGCATCTCAAGCATATCTCAAGGGCTTCAAGGACGCATCCAACAAAAACATCGCCATGAAAAGCAAGCCAAGGAACTTGCTGACGGCGAGGTGCGCGTCAAAGTAGGAAACGCAGTATGCAGCATTCTGCGGATCGCTTGTGGCAGTCACCAAGACAGCCAGTCCAGCAACCCAGGCATCCCAGGAATGATTCTTCCCCCCGCCCTCCTCCGCGGCCTCGAGCTCAAACCAAGATGCGGCAGGATGGGACAGTCGAAACGCTGCACAAGCTGCACAAGCATAAAAATGACATCTCTGACCCGTGCCTTGTTTGGCCTCTTCGGCACACGGCCGAGAGGCCTCACATGAAGCGTTCTGTTTGCAGAGCTTCGCCTCAAAGAGGCCAAAGGCTGCGGGCCATGCTGCTTGAAGTACACCTGCATCGGCTGTGACACGTGCTGTTGTGTTCACTGTTCAAAATGGCTGTGCACTCCTTCGACTCTTCCTTATACGAGTAGGGTTGATCAGAATCACAGCGGCTACCAATGGGTGGCTGAAGAGTTTAAGACATTTTAAGAGTCATTTAAGGGCTGATCCTCTGCACGCGGAAGTGGGAGCGTTCACGTTTGAGCCTTCACCATTCCCAGTTCGTCAGTTGGCTCCACAACGAAGCCACCGAAGCCCTGACCGTCTCAGAGCATGGCATTTGAAACTCCAACAAATTCTCTCCAAGCTCTCTCCAAGCTCTCTCCAGGTTCTCTCTCTCATCCCCATCGGTCCTGGCGAACGCATTTCTCCTCGCAGCTAACCAAATTCTGCTCCTGGACCTCCTGCACCTGGCCAAGTCACAATACCCGGCCCCAAAACTGCAAAATCACAGGTCCTTTCGCGCTATGCGCCTCTGCCACGTCTTCGGAGAAGGAATCGAAGCCGGAATACTTGGACCAGCGATCCGGCGGCTGGTCTGGGCCTTCACAGACTTGCAGGCACTTGTAGATCCCTCAAGTGAGGCCATTGGCAGCCAAGGCCAAGCGAAAGCAAGAAAGCGCAGGCCTAAAACCTCACGGGTCTCTCGGCAGAGTGCGGGGAGGAAGGGCCGAAGCACCCGAGCACGCCATGGTGACACGACCTTGTCGTAGAGCCTGCCTGAGGTAGGCCACAGGGTAGGGTGTACTTCACGGGGGATTTCAGGGAGGATGTTAGGCCAAGTCTGCCAAGGATCTTGGCCCAAACCTGCGAAGAGCTGCTAGGATGTGCCAACTGGCTTCTATCTGCTCGAGTTCGGAGTCCTCCTCCTCTGGCCTCGTGGCTGGTGACCCTCTCGTGACAACCGCAATGGACATGACCGTCTTAGGGGGAAAGCCTTTGCGAACAAGTTCGGATAAGACTCTCTCCAACACCATGCGAGACTTCATAGCATACCATTGGCTTCTCGTTGATGCTCTTGATACCCAGAACAAGCGCGTGGCGCAGGTCTTTGAAAAGAGCTTCGGACATGCTATCCATCCTGTCGTGAAGTTCTTCTGCATTTGCATCCACCCAGTCAGCCAGTAAGGTGCCACAGCGCTCCGACAGCTGCCTTCATTTTTGGGAGGCAGTGGCATGCAGGGGCGTCACGTCACGTCACATCAGCACTTCCGTATGATTCTGCTTTTCAACACCGCACGCCTGTTTCCACAAGCCAGCATTCTCACCAAGCACATGACAAGAACATCTTGCACGCTCTCGAATCGGCCGAGCACCTCGCAACAACTGTCACAAACAGCAACCATGGCAACCATCACTGTCTCCTTCGTGATCAAGGCTGATCAAAGAGCCACCTGCTGCATCTTGTCTGCGAACTCTGCTGCCACACGATCAGCGTCCGCAGGCTTCATGTAGCTTCCCTGCTTTCCACGTTCACCGTCCTTCCGGCGAAGTACATCAACTGGTCTATGCAGGATGTGAAGAAATCTCTGTGCTGCGGTCCTGGGCCAACATCAACCTCCGTCTGTCCCAAAAGTGCGCATTCCACATGCAGGAGACCTCTGCGGATAGTCTCTGGTGATGTGTGGTGGCTATGTGCTGCCGTCGGTGTGGCTATGTGGCAGCCCTGCCTTCTGCTCCAAGTCATAGACATGCTTGAGAAGATGGTTCGGTTGGTCCAAGGCTTGTCTCATCGAATCGATGAGTTCGGTCAGCAAAGGGACCTTCGGGCACAATGAAGCCACACTGTACAGCTTGGATTCGGGGAAGAGGTCGGCTCACTCTGATGGTCACGCTTCCTATCAAATGAAGTCGAGCGGCGACTCCTATGACTTCTTGATCTCTGCCTGCAACAGCATGAGTGACGCACTTGCACTTCGAATCGGTATTCACTGCGCTTGCTTAGAAAGCTGCACCTGGAAGTGCCTCGACAGGAGCATTTCTTTTTCGCCTCTCCTGCAAGACACCCCGCACGAGCTGTCATCGAAAGACATGCTGCACGGTTGCAGACTTTTGCACGTATGTATTGGTTCCGGGATGCCGCAACCGGTTATATGTACTTCTATCGACCGATGGCGCTCGGGCGTTCCTCAAGCTTCATAACAATATCAACTATCCTGGATGGGCATGCCCCAGAGGGCCTGGAGCCACCGTCCCAAGCCGAAGGCTGCCCCGGGAGTCGCACAACAGAGAATCGCTTTGCCGCTTCGCCGCTTCGCCGCTTCGCGTTACCGCTGCCAGACTTCTCAAGCATGTCATGAACTGACCGCCTTCACACTCTCTTGCCTCGACCCGAACGTCGAAGATAGAGAAGTCTGCAATGTTCAGGTGCAGCTGGTCTGCTTGCACGCGCAGTTGAAACCTACGAGACACTTGGGCCGAGACTTGGGCGGAACACTTAGGGAGACTTGGGATGCCACACGAGAATTCACACTTTGGCCTCAGGTCCGAGTCTATCTGAAAGCCGTCCAGGGAGGTGAGGGATGTCAGGGTTGTCGCGCTGATGAATTGGTATTCCTTGAACCCCTCGGCAAAGGGATTTGGCCAAAACCTGAGGGCAGAAAAGGGGTAACAAAAACAACGCAACAGCAGCACATAGGAACAGCCCTCACGTTATGTTCGATTTTTGAAGCTGTCGGCCTCAGCTCTTCCAAGTGTATCCTCTCCAGGTGGCTGAGCTGTTTTTTGAAAAGAGTTGGTCGCCAGGAAAATCTGTTTGACGATAGGTCGAGGACGCGCAGCTTTTGCAGCTGTCCAAACTGATCTAGCCTGCACATCTCATGGGAGCATGAAGTGGCAAAATTGACGGCAAAATGCGATTACAAAGCTGTCAAGCGGCATATCGTCGATGTCGTTGTGAGACAAGAGCAGCTTGCTCAGCTGAGTCAGCGCTGAGAAGTCAGGGAGCTTGATGAGCTCGTTGTGACTCAGGTTGATCTCTGTCAAGCTCGGATTGACCAACTTGACAAACGTCAGCATGTTGCGTGACGCATTTAGAATCTGCAGTCGACGAAATTCGAAGGTTCTTGTGTCCTTAGTATGCCACGAAGCCACGATGCTCACGGGAGAACCTATGGTCGGGGAAAAATCTTGAGCTTGGGAGTCCGGCAAGCATCCTTCATTGCATTGAGACACCCAATGTCAGTCAACTTGTTCTTTGCCAAGTTAAGAACTTCCTTGGCTCTTCACTTTGCTGGAGTGCACATCTTTAACAACGCAAGTATGACGGGTCTGCCGAGATACTATGTGCTCACGAATAAACTGCTTGTGCATAAGACCATTCTCATGCTCGCCTTCGAGCGTTTCCAAGCTCCTGGTCATTCTGCATGACGTCTACAGTCTACAGTCATCTACAGCATGGCAGACGGAGACGCTATGCGACAACTGCTCAGCCGCAAGGGAAGCTGCTGTCGAGCCACCATTGCGGGCCGCTGAAGTCCACTCGCCGGCGGTTGCGTGCAGACCTGTCACATGTCATTGCAGCATGTCTACCGGGGCTGATGGCGTCGTCCAGTCTTGTGTCTTCTTGGGTACGCGGGTTCTCTTCTGCCCGCTGCATGTCGCGACCTGTAAGAAGTCCAGTCGGCACCAAACTCGGTGAAAAAGACTTCTGTGCCCAGGGACGAGTACCTCACAGGTTCTGAAAAGCAGCACGGGTGACCTTCAAGTGAAAGAGACCTGAGGGCAGGGCTGTCCAAGCGCATTCTGGTGCTTTGCCAGTTTTTCCATTGCAGAGCTGAGACTGCTCGTACGGCAGTGCCGGAAAGTGAAAGCTAGATTGCATTTGCGCCGCTCTGATTTTTGTCTGCTGATCATTGTCCGCAGAATTCATCATGCCAAGGGTCATAACTCATGTTTGATCGTGCGACCTCCGTGTAGCATGTCACCTTCACGAGCACCCCGATAAGAAACTCCAGAACATACTTCGTAAACACAAACACCGACCTGGAAACTGCGGAAACTGCCTGACCTGCGAAGAGTTTGACTGACATGTGATTGCTGAGGCCAGTGACTTAGTGTTGCCAGTTGCACGTCCAAAGCTGGCACCGGCTGTCACCTGATTTTTGGATGCCACCCAGGCCTTGTCTGCCGGGCGTGCCCCCAACGCATGCAAGTGAAACTCAAAACGTGCACAAAGGTGTGAAACTGAAAAACACTTCATGACTTCATAACACTTCTCACACAAGTGTCATATTTTGCCACCTAAAGCCCGAGCTTGTCAGCTACTTTCCACTCTCAGTCTCCGCTCTCGTTGGAACAGATTCAGCCGTCAGTTTGACAGGGCGTTGCTTACAGAGTAGACCTTGAGTGCATGATAGTGCATGTACAATCTGCACTGCCCACTGCCATGACCCCGTCTCTAAGCATCAGGCCGGCGAATAATTCTCATGAACTCTTCCTCGCTAACCTCGCTGAATTTTAGTCTACCATTCCGACAGTAGCCTAGACACTCTTTAAACAGAGCTAACACGACGAGGACCGAGAGGGGCACCTCACCATCATCATCTTTGTCGGCTTCCCGGATCATCTCCTGCAGCTCCTCATCCGACATGGTCTCTCCAAGCTCCTCATGCAACAACGCGCGCACCACTGACCACAAAAGCCAAGCAACTATAAGACTGTAAGCAACTGCTGCATCTAGAAGTGTGCATGCGGATCCTTTGCAACCGCCTTCAGGTCATCAAACGAGATCTTTCCAGATGGCCCCTGTCGTCAAAATTGGCTCAAGCGATGAAAGCTATGAAAGCATATGAAAGCATGAAGGATGCCCATTCGCCAAACCCAGGCCTTGAAAAGCTGAAATGCTTTCAGGATCTGCTCCTTGGAATCCTCACCAGAACAAACTTTCACACCTTCAGTGCCAGGACGTCTTGCATGAGCCTTCTCGCTCATCTTGGCTGTCATAATCTCCAGAAACTCATTGAAGTCTAGCATACCCTGCAAGGCACCAGCGGATGCTCCCTCAAGTCCAAGTGATCTTCGCAACACAAGGCCTGGACATGCGAACTGCCGCTCTTGTCCAGATCGGACACCTGCCATTGCTGCTGCCGGGAGAACGCCATGTTCATGACGGAGACGAGTTGGCATGTGCACGTGCTGCATCTCTGCGACAGCAAGCACCACTCACCCCTTGCCGCTTGTTCATAGAGGCTCTTTGCGGCTCGCTTCTTCACGGAAGGGCTGCTTCAAACGTGCCAAGTTCGCGAGTTTTTTCAACTCTTCTTTTTTGGGCTCAAAACCCAGCGCTCGCAGTGCCACCTGGCACAAGTACTTGCTTCAAAGCGAATGCGAGAGTGCGAAAGGACTGCAAATCTGCCCACACGGCTTGGCAAGTGCTTGAAGGCCTTGAGCTCCTTGGCTTCAATGGTTCCTGTGCCATCTGTGTCGAAAAGGTCGAAGGCTTCCTTGATTTCGGCCTAAGTTGACAAGGCCAACAGAAGCAACATGTTCACAATCACCGCGATGGCATCTATGGCCATGGCCTTCTGCTCATCTTTGAGCTCCTGAGATACAAAGGTACAACAGTACCAAGCCGTGAGCCCGAAATTCGCTGCGCGCGCGCGCCAGGAGTTGGGGCCACTGCCGTCCGAGTCCGCGCTCGCACCTTGCGGACCTTCGGCGGCATGCCCAGTGGCCCGCCCCGGTCCGGCGCCTAAACGGAAGGCTAAGAAGTACACTGAGAGCCAGGGGAAGCGAACAAGCCCCGCGCATATCAACGCAAACGCGCTTTGCAGTTCAAGCATCCGTAGCCACATTCTCTCGAGCACGCTGGTTTTCATTCCCCCCAATGTCTTTCGATTGCTTGGCATGGCGGCTCACGCATGCTTCTTCAAAACTCCGAAACATCCGCTGCTTATACCAAAGTTGGGTATACAAAGCAGAACCTTGTGAAGCACACATGCCAAGGCAATGGCAGCACTGCCTTAACGCCAAAGATCCGAGATGTCTTCTCCCACAACTCAGATTCCTTGCCCATGCAACTGCATGTACAAGGTGCCAATGACACCCTGCGCACGACCTCGTGCAGACCATGCAGCTGGGCGAAACAAACTGGACTCAAAGTAAAGGCACGGCCGGTCAGCCATGCAGGCCAGTATCGCAAACGAATTCGTAAAAGAGGCGAGTCATCTCAGAGGCTGGTGCCTTAGAAGCTGGCGACGCTGTACCGACCGCTAAGTGAGAGGATCCTCCTATTTATGTTCGTTCAGAACAGCCCAGCTCTTGTTTTAATCATGTTGAGCGAGAGTGCACTTAGGCTTTGAACTGTCTACTTACATTGCCAGGAATGGGTGCAACAGAACGTCGACTACAGATTATGTCTCTGAAAAGGCGCCTGGCAGCGCATCTTTCAATGCGCCAAGTCGTGGCCGTACGATGCCGTGCTTCACTGCCCTGCCCTGACAAAGATGTCTGGGCCGGTTTGCTGTTGTCTCGTTGCTGTTGCTGAGTCTCAATGCACGCAGCTGAGTCTCAATGCAATCAATGCGCGCCCTGCTGTCGCAGATGCTGTGTCCGTTGCCTTCTGTACGCTGGTGCGCAGACAAGCTGCGCCAACAGCTCTGCCCCAAGAGGCCACACACGGCCACACGTTTTGGATGTCCCTGTGCAGTTTTTTCATCCTGTCTGAAAACAACCTCGGCGGGCATCCCCATTGCCATGCCGTTACACATTCCCACTACCTTGTCTTCAGAAAGCTTGCGATGGGATTGTGCTCTCTACGGGGGCCTCACTTGGCGAAAGCAAGTACCCAACAGCTGTGAGCTCTACATGTTTGAGTGCAACTCTGCTACCACTTGCAGCTCAGCATAAAGACTAAGGGAGATGCAGCTTCACGCGCCACTTCGCGTATGCAGTCTCGAACTCCTTCTTTGTATTCTGCTCACTGACGCGAGGAGTAGTTGGATGGGCCTGAAGTCCACAGGTACTCTGCGGCAGCTGAGCAAACATTAACTCACATTAACTCACATTAACTCCATGGCATTCTACAGTTTGGACCCTTCGGGCTAGGACCCACCGCCTTGGACATTCCATGTCGCAGCGCATATGCCGACCATCGTCTGTACTCTCGAGTTGCCTGAACTCGAACTCACCCCCCCCAACTCGTTACATAGTTGATGCGCTTCTCCCCACCTTGCCGAGTCTGATCTGGTACTCTCGACGGTTGAACCTTCTGGCCCATCCTGTCAGCTGCCCCTCAGAAGCCCATGCCCATACCCTTAAAGAAGGGAACCTTCACGAGTAAGCTCGCCAGCAGCTTCCGGATCCAGTTGCACCTTAGCGTCCCACCCTGTGTCGCGTGTTGCCCTGGGTCGTGCAAGAAAACAACAAGGACCAGGCAGAACACAAGACATCGCGTCCCTGTCGCTTGTAAGCCAACCAGTCCGCATCAACGTGCCACCTTGTCAAGCTCGACTAAGTACCAGACGCCAACACAAATGACCTGAACGAGCCTGCCACCAAAGTTCATGGGCTGCTCAAAGCCCGCATAAGCCTTGCACCAAGTCAAAAAAAAAGGTCAACACTTCGACAGGTACAATTCCAGCCGCCCAGGCGGGCCTGAATGCAGTCTGACATGTACCCATCTGCTTCCACTTCCCCGGCTTCCTTCTGAGAACCTGTGCAAAGCTTTCAATCTTCTCAATTCTTTGCACAGCACATCGGTGGGAAGCTGGCACCTGGCAATGGAGGCATGGGGCCAGTGGGCCCATGAAGGCGGACAGCGGACAGCCGACCCTCTGGACCTTGTCTCAACAGCACCCGAAACACATAACAAAAACCACATCAGCTAAAACAAGTACAAAAAAACAAACACGATCCACGGTTCCATCTCCTGGCATGTCTCGGAGTTCTGCGGGACACCGGTGGCGGTGTCGAGTGTGACGAGTGTGACTCGGCCATGCGTCCTTTTGAGCACAGCAAGAAAGTTCTACTAAGTTCTACTCTTTGCAGTGTCACTAAAGGGGCAAACGAGCAGTGCATTCTCCTGCCTTCATTCGCGCCTTGCTGTGAGCGACCTGGCATTCGCAGAATTCTCTCAGCTCTCTCAGATCTAAGTCGGCGCAAGAGCGAGGGTTTTCCCTCGAATGCCTTACAAGGCAAATCCTCAATCAAGGGGTAATTGGGCTTCTGGATGTGCGCAGCTGCCTCGCAGAAGGGGCTGGAAAGGCTGGCTCCACCTCGGATAAGCGCTGCCAGTTTACCCCCGCACCCAGCAACCCGGTCGTTCTTGTGATGGTGTCCACTGCTGTTGTGGAAGTAGCACGTCGACTCTAAAAGCTTCAGCCCCTTTGGGGTTGCACAAATCTCTCTCTCTCATCGACCTACTTCAGCAGAAGACTCAGAAGACATGGAGAGAGGTCCGAGCGGAGCGTTGCCAGCAGCGGCTTGCTGCAGCTGGATCAACTCCTGCAAGCAGGCTGCTGTTCGCTGGCTTTGACTCAGATGTTTCGGCCATCAGGAAGCTTCAGAATGATCCACGCCAACATGTCCTGCACAACGACACTTTCATCTGCAACCGTCCATCGCGCTGCTGGAGGTGCCTTGTCAGTTTCTCAGTCAGGCGCAAACATGCTGAAACAGAAGCATGATGGCCCTCGTGGCGAAAATTGAGAAGTTCTACCCCCTAGTTCTTCGAATCCAGTTTCCGAGGGCTGTTCATACTCAGGCCTCCGTGGGAACCAACTTGCCAATCCAAATGTTGACGGTGTCGCGAGGGTGCGGCCTTCGCAACAGGAGCCATATTCCCTACAGGCCCGTATGGCACTGGATGATGGACGGTGTTAGCATGTGTTAGCTGTTTGCCTTGAAAGGAATCGGGCGGTGAACTGGGCAAACTCGCTCAGAAGTAGCCGAATCTCCCTTCCAGGAATGCAAAGGCCGAAGCATGCCAAAGCTACTCTTCCTAGTACAATCATGCCTGTCTGATGCAGAATCTCGTGTTGGGGCACAACCTGTCAAGTCAAGCAAGTGGCCAATCCAACATGAGCTGACTTGTCACTGCTTTCACACCCATTCCCGAAGTGCATGCTCTGCCTGGTAGATCCTGAAGCGCAGGCCTACAGAGAGCTACACAAGGTCCCAGGATTGGACACTTCACAACCGAGTGTCCAATCGAGCTGGGTCGACTGGAAGTGGATTTTGGGATGTTCGGATACAGGTGCACATGTTTCAACCAAACATCGAGGCTTCACAGCGATCAGAGTCAGTGTCATGTCCACGCATGCCCGCGCTATGTTTTTCTGGCTTCAAGCGGGGAACGGACAAGCATGTCGGCTGCGATCCAGGCCAACGCTTAAGTTAAGGGGACAAGCGGTACACTCTTGGAATGTTTCGGTAGGCAAAGAATTCAGCATCAAAGGTTTGAAACTTCTCCAAGGATATGAAGCAAGAGCTTTGCCGGTACGGGATGTCTTCCAGCATGCTTTCTGCAGCAAAACAAACAAGAACGGCATCGGCTTGGTGCTCTCTTCCAGGGAAATCGGAACCGTAGTTCCTTGGCAGTTGCGCGTCCCGAAAGGCTGGAAAAACTTCTCGCCAGAGTTGGGCGCTCGCTGCGCCTTCCTTGAGACCATCCAAGCCTTGCAAGCCGTCCAGCGGGCTCAGCTTTGAGAAGAAGACGCCCCCACCCCTGTAACCTCCACGCGACAGCTTGAGACCTTGTCGGCCTTTAACAATAGCCGCAGCGCTGTCAAGATCGGTGTAGTGGTACAACACACGCTCTGTCCGTGCCGCTTGGCTTGCGACAGCCTCCAGTGTGGCTCTGAAGAACGACAGCTCCCAGTTGGTTGCATCCTCTATGCGCTCTGCTCCCAAGCCCAGGCGCACCACAACCTCACGAGCCACACTGCTTTCTTGGCCGTTCTGGCCGAGCCATCCAGCCCAGCCCATCAAAGCTAAAGCCCCACTGCTACATTGGAGGATCTGGGTTCGTCGGGCTCGCTGCTCCGACGGCTCTGGTGGCTTGGCCCGAGCACATATGCGAGTGCCCATCAAACGTGATTGAATCGCACGACCCTTCACAAGCCAACTCCCCTCTGTGGGCGCCTTCCAACCCACATATGATGAGAAGCTGCATGGATCTGATATAAGACAAAACGATATAAGAACAACAGCGCACGATGCAGACACGCGGCAATCACGCATTTGCCGCACCATGGCGAGCTCACGGCGGGAACATCTTGATTTCCTCATCGAGCAAGCATCGGATCCTTTGCCAGTCAGATATCCACCTACACTACATACTATCCAGGGGAAACCTTGACTAACTTGACCTCATCTGAGGACCTGCACCTGACTGCGTCCACCCCAAGGCCCCATACAATACCTCTGAGCACAAATGGCTTTGGTGCACCAATGGATATGGTGGCAGAGAGTACTGTAATGTACCGTAGCATCGTTTGACAGTTTGGAGACATTCATGCTGCTCTCAGGTCTTCCCGGTCTTCCCCCCTCCTCTCTCGCAGCTCATGGCGTGCGAAAAAAGATTCATCTGTCACGGACTGAGCAGCTCGCAACATCTGCTTCTGCTGCAGGAAGAAGACAACCAGCAAAGTCCAGTTCTGCAGGCCTGGCAAGTGCCAGGCAAAGCGAATCTCTCGCGCAATCTCAACGACCACAAGCCACAGAGTGAATCTCAAGCATGGCCAGTATGATTACACAAGCCACACAAGCCGCGCAGTGAAAGCACGCCAGTGCCTTGGCTTCTTAAATGCATCTGCCGACATCGGGCCCAGAGCCTCGGCTCCAAGTTCACCCGCCGTAATCAACTCATCTTCTCCCTTCAGTACTACAGCTTATTGGTGCATGCCGTGAAAATAGAAATCTCGCAGGCAACACCATATGCGTTGACCCTGCCTCCCACACCCCCGCCCCCCGCCGCCCTTCAGCAGCCAAAGCAAAACCACTGGCCACATTCCTAGATATGTAGATTTTGATCAACGGGGAATTCCCATGCTCGGATGGCACGAACTAAAGTGAGGAAGTGAGGCGTCAACCACAGGTGAGAGCACTGAAAGTGAAAACCGGTCGGTGCAAGTGGTAGCCGCGCCCAAGCGCATCTGGGCAAGCTTGAGAATGCGGCTTTGACAATGAGGTGAAGAACCGCGGACCGCGGACCTGCATGTCTTCCTTGTCGGGGTTCCCGTTCTTTCCATGGCCCAGCCTCGTCCACGCTGTCGTACACGAGTCCGCTCACCAGACCTTTCCCCTATGGAGGCACGATGAGGCACATCTTGCTGGAGCTTCTACTCCATGGCCTCGCCTTTTCCATGGTTGCCGGATGTGTGTGTGTGTGTGTGTGTCTCTTTCCCTCGAGGGCCCAGGGGGCCCAGATTACATGCCGCGTCCCCCTGCAACATTCCTCCGCTGAAACTTTTGCTGCGTACACGCCTCGAACCCTTCCACCCCCAACGAAATGCTACGGTACCTACACTGTATGCACCGCACTCCTCTTCCTATTGTTCCTACTCTTCATATTCTTCTCACCCTTCAGTATTCCCACCCAAAAGGACGAAAGCCGGCCATGCTTTTTCCACTTGCTTTTACTTCCTTCCTGCATGCGTACACCGCGACGTCGCCCCGCCCCTTGGCGCACGTCGACAAAGACCGTCGGCTGGGTCTACACACTCTCTCTCTCGGAACTTGAGATCAAGGCCACGTGCGCAAGGGCAAAGCACTTGTCGATACCGCGGGGGGGGGGGGGCAGTGCGCACATTTAACTAGTGCTGATTCAACTAGATCAACCAGATGAGACCTCGAGGCCATGTGTGACCCACCAAGAGACTTTTAAAACCACAACGACGCATAGCTCTAAGGAGCTAGGCTGCTAGCTTTCGTGATGCGCAACCCCTCCCCTCTTCTTTCGCGGATTGCCACCATATTCTGACCCCTATCGAACTTGTTCCTAATTCTTAGCAGGCTTGAAGAGCGAACTTCCCGCGCATCGGTGCGCCCGAGGTTTCGGGGCAGAGCCCAGTCTGCGAAAGTGAGACGGCGGAGCAACTTGGGGCCTTTTTAACAGGGCACCAGCCCGCGGTGTACCTGCGGGTGTTCCTGGTACCCTCCCCATGTCAAATCCTCACCAAACAACCAAGACTGCAGATTCCTTGTGCGAAACATGCAGCACTGGAGAGCTCTGCTGGTTGGTCCCCTTCAACCTTTGCTTTCCAAGCTAAGAACGATGAGTGTCCCCCGCCCTCTGATTAAGCCTCCATCCCTGAGGATGCGCAAAGGGGCATTTTAAAAATTTCTGTCTCAGACCTGACTCCCCTGATTCCGTCTCTTACTCTCTCCACGTATGCGCACCTGCACTGAACTATAAAACAAAGTTGTCTCGGCTGCTGCGCTTGACTCGACGGATGGTGGGAGAAGGTTGGAGCGCAGTGGAGCGGACTCAAGCGCGAACCAGACATCCGCCACGAAGTATTGAAGAGACTGCCAGTCTTCATGCTAAGTATATTGGAGTTCGTGGCAGCTTGAACTGCCACCGAAGTGTGACTTTGCGCAGGGAGGCACTACTGGACATGAGGCCAGCATGCCAACCTCAACATAAGCCCTGAGCCTCCTGTAAGCGACACTCCTTTCTTTGAGGCTGTGGCTTGACTCGGCGGACCAGAGGTCGAGCAGGTGGAGACAAGGACAACATCTGCCTGCCCACAGAACAACATGGACACGGGCCTTATGACTGTAGGCCTCATGACTGCAGGCGTACTGAAAGCCACTGAAGTTGAACACGGACGAAAAGATGGAGCTCAGCCAAGATAGTTACTTGTCAACATGCAGACAGGGGCCTCAGTATCGAGTCCATGACACCCGACTGTTCATTTCCTTCAAAGATGGCAATCTCCTGGGATTGCTACACATGTATCAGGACATATCGGAACCAAAGCAGCGACACTGGTGAGCTCATGAGATCGAATCTCTTCATACAGTCCTGTCGTCCACGAGACGGACCGTCAAAGTTGGAGGCCAGCAGCCTCCAAAAAGCAACACCAAGCCAGGAAAAGTCAGCACATTTGCATTTTCATGCTCCATCACGCTCCCAACATCTTCTTACCTGTCGAGTTGTATCTGTTCAATCTTGTGGTCCATTTCCCCCTTCAGCCTGAAAGACGGAGATTCCGCATCCTGAGTGCATCTCAGATTGTCTCGACCAGCTCTGCCAGCTCGACGTTTCAGCACGCCCACAAACTGATCCACCTTGGAGTCAGATGTTGGCGTTGGGAAACTTAAACTTCAATGCCCGCAGCAACGGAAAGCAGATCGCAAGCCCGGCATTGGTATAATTTGCGTCCTCGGCACAATGATGCCTGGGGGTGGAGGCCTGGGGTCGTTGAAAGCAAGAATCCAGGGTGCACTGCTCGTTTGCCACTGTATGTCAATTGCTTATCACTCCGGTCGGCCTTGCGACCCCAAAACCAACCAAACTCAGTCGACTTGAGAACCTGAATACTGCTGTAGGATGCTAGGCTGCTCGGCCGTTGCCCTCTGAAGACAAGCGCAAGGTCCAGTATCGCAGGTGCCAGCCCAGTGTCTGCCAAGCCAACGCGCATGCAAGCAAGCAACAACAGAGACCTTAGGACCTTGAACGCGCATGAGAACAGACGATTGCATGACATCCTCCCCGTCCTGAGATATAGGATCCAACGGGGCGCAAGGTCCAGCCTCGATTGCAGGATATTGCAGGAGCGGCAAAGAGGAAATTCAAGGCACTGCGGGCGGGGCCTTCCGGCAGCTCCTCGAAGGCAATTTGCCGAAGCATGTCAATCAGCTTCTCGCTTGCGGGATCGAAAGCAGAAGCCTTGCACTCAAAGCATTGCGAAAAGACTTAACGACCCGCTTAAAAAGGCACATCAGAGCTAACAAACACACGGCATGCCCCAAGACACCGACGGTTTCCATGCCACAGACGACTATGGCAGCCCACGGCGCCCTTCGGTCACGCTTGAATTAAGCCTTGCTCTCAAGGATGATGTCGGACGATGTCAGATGATGTCGGAGCGAGTAGAACATTCGTATTCGTTTCTACATGAGAGCACAACAGTCTGAACGTTCCACACATCACTCTCTTCAAGGCAAGTGAAAAGATCGCAAGTGCTGATCCTTTTTCGCTATACATCCTTGCAAGGCGGTGCATCTAGCGTTTGAGCCCAGCCATTGCAAGTTGACCAACAATGTGGCTTGGGGCAACGTAGCAGCGCTGTTCAAGGTACTGCAACCGCGTGACGTATGAGCAGTTGCTTTTGTCACCGGCGACAGCCGTGTCATGCAGACGGCTGTGCCGAGCATACTCTCGAACACAAGTCACGCGAACAGAAAATGTAGAGACGGACGGCCACGTTCGGCATCCCGGCAAAGGATCTTCAAAGTGAGGCTGCTCCCATGTGACTAGCAACACCCGTCTCAACTCAGCAGCTGTCACTCAGCTGGGAGCTTGCCTTCTGGTCCTGTGGCAAGAACAATACGACTAACAGATCATGGCATGGCAGCCACTCCCATGCTGCTTGAGAGACATATGAGGACTCCAAAGAAGCTGGAACTCTTCAAGTCTTGACTGAAACCTGCTATAAAGCACGGAACCGTGCTCGGTAGAGCCTTCAGATCTCTGAGCCTCGCATAGCCTCGCAAAAGATGCTCGGTCCTCCTCAGACTTCATTTCGACAAAGTCGAAATCCCAAACGTCCGGTAATCCCAAGTGTGGCCAGCCCTGGTCCGAAGTCCGACGGGGCATGGGGAGTAGTGGACTGTACTACATTGGCTTCCTACAACTTGCTACAGTGCAACCGCCTGGAATAATTCAACTGACGGCGATGTGCCACTGGCCTCCGTCGATTTGGAAGCACTGCCATACGAAACTTTGTGCAAAGCGCACGTGGAGGTCGAAGGCAGCGTAAGGCCTGACTCGTCCATCTGAAGGCAGGGTAACCTCCATGCGACGGTCCACTCATGGCCTCGCCAAACAGAACAGTCCCTCTGACATCTCCTGTCAAACCATGTCAAACCATGTCACAAACCATGTCAAACCGTCGTCGGAAGCACAAGCCTGGCAGGCCATCCGCTTGATCAAGCAAGCACTTGTAACCTGGCATGGCTGTGACAGGGCTGACAGAGCCAGTCGAGAGGATCAGACAAGACGTGACATCTACACTCCGCCTTTGCATCGATTCCTCCATTCGGAATGTTGTTCACCATCCTTCATTGGAGCCACAGCTACTCAGCTACTCATACCATTGCAGTTGGCATGTGATTCTTAGTAACTAACAGTTAATCCGCCGGAGGCAACAGCCCGCCACAAGCTTGATGCAGCCAAGGCTTCGCATCCAAATCTAGACGGGCCATTATTGCGTGCCCTGGTCCAGCGGGAAATCCCGGGACTGCATCCTGCACATTTGGATGCACAAGAACCGAAAGATTTTGAAAGTGAACTCCCAGACTTTCTCCCTTACTGCAGCTCGAGTGTACCATGAGAGTCAAGACAACTATTCCGCACTCTGGTCATCCTTGGGATCGTTGCGAGTCATTGTCGTCCGCATATCGCCCAGTTTACCTTGGTTTCAGAGTTTTGAATTCCTTTCTCGACATCTCTGCCTACAACATCAGTAGCAAAGTAATAACAAAGATAAGAACAGTATGTCTGGTCATGTCTGGTCATGTCGTCGACGTTCATGAAAATCGCACCGAGAACATGCAGTTCGGCAACGCTACAGCACTCGAAGTGCGCGCTGGTGGTTTTGGCGGCGGAGGGACAACCCGGACACATCTAGGAGAGCCGCAACGGAACATATGGTCACACATATGGCAGTGGTACTCTGTGAGAAAACTGCTGCCTGGCAGTATGACTTTACTTAGCAGCTTGAAATGTGCAGGCGTTCATCTTTCTAGGAAAGCATTTGCTTGCCCGGTACGCGTGCTGGTTCGTAAAAATAGATTCAATAACGCTTGCTCAACAGGGACACAACCTCTGCAAGACATGACAACCGGCAAATACCCGTGAGGAAGCACTTGGAAGACACGCAAACCAGAACAGGCATCCGTCAATTAAACAGATTCGACAATCACGCAACAGGGCAAGCACCTGGAAAACCCGAGAACCGGCACGAGACACCGCCAAAATGCAAACGACAGTGGGAACTTGTGTCACAACAAGAAAGCGCTCATATCTGTATGGTCTGTTTGCGTTTTTGTTCTGTTCCCTGGAATGCCATCTGCTTCTCTTCGTGGGACTCTGCTGGACTTCATGCGGGTTGCTCACTCCTGCTCCAAATCGGTGGAGCAATGAGGCGCGAGGTGAATCTTCAAAGGAGAACAGCTTGCCGTATGACTCCTCAAGATGACCGATGCTTCAAACCCTGTTCCATTGCACAGGAATCCTTAGCATGGTCACTCATATACACACTTGGCACCACAAGAGAGTGCAAGCACGGACTCCTCGGCTGTCTTGTGCCCAGACATCTCCCTGATGTCCTACAATGAGCAGGCTCTGAAGATTCTGAAACTGCATGACAGCAGAAGCTTGAGGACGAGCTCGAGCCTCAAAAAAGGGACGGTTGAACGACCCCCAGTACCCGCGTGAAGTGAGCTCCGAGGTAATGTCTGCCTTTCGGCGACACAAGGTTCCCAAAGGTTCCCAAAAGTTCCTCGACACAGGACACAAGTCAGGCGCCTGATGCGTCATGCCCGGAACTTGCTCCAGAATTCGGATGGCATTTCGTTGCAAAGGCTGTCCTGGAGTAAACCTGCTTGTCTTTGGTTAAGCACAAATCGCAGATGAGGACTATATAATCTGACTCATCCCAGTACACGTGGAGGAGCAGAAGCCCAGGCCTGTTGTAGTCCACAACAATCCACTGCGAGTTTCCTGTGCCTGTGTTTTCCTCGGCCAACATCGAAGTCCACTGCGTGCCTCCACACAGTTCTTCTGGTGTTCCTTCTTGTTCCATGCGTTTTACCTGGCCTGTCTTGGCCACGCGATTCACGGCCATGACATGCAAGAACTTTGGTAACCTGGCAGCCAAAAACTTCCCAAATCTTCCCAATTCACGCTACAGCCTCTGCTACCACTGTTTCTGTGATCGCCTTGGACGCTTGGGGTCGTCCATGACCCGGCTGTATAACTTGGGGTTTAGGACCTGCCAGCATGAGTCACATGAATTGCATGAATTGCATAAACTGCATGAACTGCATGAAGCCGACTGATTCCGGTCAAAGGTCCCATCTCCAAGGCCCAGGCCTCCAGCGTCGTGTCCATTACCGCAAGGCCGTTGTCCTCAGCAGACATTCGCGTCCTCCCTCAACAACAGCGCACTCATTCTTCACAAGGTGAGATCCATCATGTAGAAGTCATCGGTGCTGCTGACGCACCCGGGATAAGAACCTGAGGTCGAAAGTCTGTTCCTGTTGCCTTTGAGTTGCATGCTTCGTGACTGGCACAAGAGCATAAGTCTCCGACTGAAACCAATAAGCTCATGCGACTGAAAGGACAGAGGTAAATCAAAGCGATAGTACCTCAAGCTCTGCTGCACGCCGCGATGGATGAGCATGTTCACGCTCAGTGTTGCTGGCAAGCTTCTTGTACACTCGTGTCATTTTGCTGTAGTCGCTCCTGAAGTAGGGATGGAACGTCAGTGGAACCCAATGAGCGCAGACATGGAGCCCGGCCATGTTGTGTGCCCAACGAAAAGGTCAGCGTTGGCTGGTGCAAGCCGCACCTGACTCACCGCTGTGTTGCTGCAACTCAGGTGAGCTCAGATGCAAAGGTGGTCCTCTCCACAGCACAAGCTCATCAGATTCCCTGTCCGCCGAGGCGGAAGCTAGCGCAGTGCAGTGACCATGCTTGGCCAACCGGAGTTTCCACTCCTGACACATGAGCTTTGACATGCCATGAATTTGGTATTTCCTATGTACGGTGATGAAACTGGGAAGAAGGCAGTATCAACTGAGGAAGCATCAGCCTGCACACGGAAACTGAAGTAGTACCACTTTGCTGTGCGATGCGCTGTGTGGGCAGTACATTGCCTGCGTCGCCTGGGCTTCTAGCAGGGACCCTGCGGAAACCAGGTTCGAAAGCTCAGAATCAGACCACGGAAAGTCAAGTCTCATGACAAGCATGCACTAGGTTGCAAGTCCCTGAGAAAAGACGAACGCACAGACAGGGACACAAAAGATGCCAAACGCATGGCAACCATGGGAGGTGCTGATATATGTGGCTGTCACGTTTGCACAAGGTCGGGGCAGGGTCTTCATCGACCATAACCCCAACCCCCCGCCCCGCCCCACCTGGTCCCTGCAACAATGGAGTGACCCCCTTCGTCTGCATGGTAAAAGGTGGTGGCGACATCATTCAGGGCATCTGCAGAATGCTAACTTGTTGCTTCCTTCCTCCAAGGCTCAATATGTGTGCGTGAAGGTGAGATGGGATTTTGTGCCACCATGTGCCAGACGCCGGGAACGGCACAAGTGAAAACAGTAGTCACATGGACATCCCATCCAAACCTGCGAGCCCCCAGCTCCGGAGCCACGTTCCACCCAGCCAGGCGCGTTCCTGTTCTTCTTCTGAGGCGAGGAATCGTTGCTGAATGACTGACACCCTCCCCACCCTCCCAGTCCCTCCAAAATGGGATTGGATGAGGGCTGGTTACACAAAGCGTGCTCACGTGAGTCCTTCGTGGCTGCTCTGCTCTATCCAGGCCCCAAATGACTAAAATTGTTTGCTTCGACCTTTCCCACCTTTCTGAGGGTGGGCACTCCAAGAATACGGACTCTTTGCGGGATCGGCGGGACTCTTTGTGGACAACGCTGGACACACCAGAGATACTCGGCGAGACTCTCTGCGGGCCCTCTCTGGGACTCTCAGATTGGGCACTCCAGGGTCCTCGGCGGGACTCTGTGTGGGCTTCTAAACCAGGCGAGGAGACCGGGCGGGACACCGTGCGAGGAGGCGGAGCATGGTTGACTTAAAATCCGAGGGTGGGCAAAAAAGTAGACACGTGCAAAGCACAAGAGAGATGACATTTGCGAGAACCACCACTCACTGACAGGCTCTAGGACGTCCAAGCAAGGCCTGGCGGAGTGTTTTGCAGAGCTGCCGGAGCCTGGAAGCAGTATTTCTTCCAGCCCGCTGATTTTCATTGATGACTTGCGTCGGCTTGGTGGGAGAACTGTGTCAATGGAAGAGTATGGGGCAGCTGCTGATTCCGCGCTTGGAGCACCACTTCCTCAGGGCGCCGAAGCAACTCGTGATAGCTCATGCCCCAGATCTGGCCCTCTGGCAGCGAGCAGCCGACTTTCTGCGACTGCCTCAGGCCGAAATGCCTTCCATTCAAGCACGTGAAGTGCTGACCAAACACCAAGCAGTCTGCAAACTGGCCTGGATGAGCTCTGGAAGCTCGGCATGGGAATTGATGAACAGAAGATCAACCATGTCAATCTGCCGAACACCCTGGCGGTAGCACCGGCGGTGGTACTGCAGTGGCACAGAGCAAAGGCTGCCACTCCCACACACAAGCAAGTCAAGCCTTCTCTTGCGCAATCAGGTTGTAAGCATCCTCAGAGAGAGCGAAGTCAAACTACCGCGGTTGCCCTGCCTTTTCTGCAATCGACCTTCGGTCTTCTGCCCTAGCTCGACTCGACCCAATACCAACAAGGTGCGGCCGCTTCCAAAGTTATCCCCATCCCACGCAAACGACAGCTCGCAGCAGGATGTCCTTCAAGCCCCACAGCTGGAGGAAAAGGTAGCGGACATGCTTCCAATAAGGATCAGCCGGCTCGCCCTGCAACAACAGAGCAGCAGAACCTCTGTAAAGACCATGTCTGACTGCAAGCATGCCTCGCTCGTGCCCGCCGACAATTGGCACACGTGCATGATGTGCTGAATCTGTTGATTGAAAGAGTTCCTGAGGGTCAACGTGTGCTCACATATACAATGCTCCACAAAGAGAGGGGCTGCCGTCCTGATATTCATCATGGCCAACGCAGAATCCTGGAGACAGCCAGGGTTATGAAAACTATAGTTGGTTAGAAACGGCAACACCACCATCTCACCTCGTTAGGCTGCAACAACGGATAGAAGTTGCTGTAAAACTGAGACATGCGTTCCGCCGTGAGGAAGCCCTCCACAATCCTGCCACACTTCTTCTGAACAAGTTTGCATCACTCCCCGAAAACAGAAGCCCAAACGCTCGAGCTGCCGAAAGGATGCAAGCCCAGGCAAGCAAGTAGCCAGCAGGACCCTGCGCCGTACATCTTCAAGTCATTGGAGAAAAAGGCGCCTTTCGGCGTGTTGACCTCACCACTAAGATTGCAAACGACCGTCAAGTGTGCGGTGTTCTGTCGGTTGAACCAAGGGCTGGACATGCAGTTCCATCCAACCAGTTTCCTTATTCAGGGTGCAAAAGCAAACAGGGACTTTACAACTGGCCTTGAGTGCAGAGAGTGAGGGAATGTGCGAGCGAGAGAGAGAGAGAGAGGAGGCCAACATTGAACGCCACCGAAATGTTGAGACATATGCAGACAGGTGTCGCTCAGGCGATCAGCGAGCCGGGCCCAGGACACTGCACGCTCCTCCTCGGACGCAAGATGCTCTGGCGCTCTTGTGGTTGACAGGACGCCGCAGCATGGCGCAGCTCAAGTCCTCGATGGAATTCATCAGGACGATCTGATTCGTTTCATTGTCCAAAGTGGCCGAAAGTCCCTGCATGCCAAACACTCAGAAACACTGACTGATCTGACCACCAATGACAGATTGAGACCAGTCCAACTTGTCGCATACGGATAGTAAGAATGCTTTGTAGCCAATGCTGTTGGCATCTCGCCCGCTCTCCAATTTCTTTTTTGCAGCGTAGGCTAGACATGCGGGGCCGTAAAACAGGGCACCCCAGAAGGGACGATACGTCAAAGAGAAGTTGCCAACTGCATGCTGAGAACTGCAGCCTGAAAAGCTGTTCAGTTGCCTGAAAAAGCCACTAGCAAACGAATAATAAGCTCGGCTCTAACAGCAAAGCAATCAACATTGCTTCTTCTAATCTGCGTTTCTAAGCAGAGCGATAGAAGCGTAGCAGCGCCAAGCAGCAACTGCCAAGCATGTGAAGCGGTGGTGTCTAGGGTGCATGGGCTCAGCAACTCGCAGTCACAGCGCTGCAACTAGCGCAATGACGCTGTGTCCCGCCTTGAACTTGTCGAAGTACTTGTGGTCGAAGCTCGCCTGGCTCACAGTGCTGATTGCCAGCTGAGCCGGGTCTGCTGACAGCACGCCTTGACATTGAACAATGGTGTCAGATTCGGATGGACACCGCGAGCCTGAGCGTGGATCGACCATTCGCCAAACTTCCGCGGCTTACATGTTTACAAAAGGGCATGTTTGTCGAAGGCCTTTATCGCAAGTCCATGCTGCACTATGCCACTCAGCACCCCCACGAATGCCAAGCACTTCCTCAGTCCAGCTGCTACCACATCGCTGGCGCCGGCTGACGCTGGCTGGCAAGCTCAACATGGACCCTGGAACTTGATCTGATCACCACTGCATTCCAAGTTTCATTGCTACATGGGCGCGATAAGAACCGCCCATCTCGAGCCAAGCCACCCAACAACAACAGATCATGTCACCTGCCAGCCCGAACTGGGGACCTCTTGCAGATACAAGCACCACAACCGGAAATACAGGGAAAGAATCAACACGTCGGTCGGACACAATGCATGGGCAACATGGTCCACGCAAAACTCTTCAGAACAGTATGGCTAAAGCGGCTAAAGATTATGGCGACGATGACAATGAGAATGAGAATGAGAATGACAATGGCGATGGCAATGGCAATGGCAACAACAATTGCAATAACAATGACCAGAGGACGGGGACGAGGAGGATGATGATGATGATGATCATTATAGCTTTGTTCTGGGTTGCTCGGAGCAATATCTCTGTAAGACTAGTGCGACAGCAGGCTGTGCCATATAACCTGCCCGTTCCCCGCAGGACTTCATGAGAGCAGAGCCGCAACTTCTAGAGGACCACAGTGAACGGTGCGAAACCACAATCTTTTTGCGAAGTTATGAGCCTCGCGGCTGTGTTCTGCGCTACTCCTGCGGAGCATCTCACATATCTGCTGGTATTTCGCCTCATCCTCCACCACCTCCGGCTTGGGAGCAACATGGAATACCCCTAAACACGAAACCAACATGCCCAATGTACGAATCATAATGCACACAACCCCCCCAATCACATGCTAGAGCCAAGGAGCCATGAAAAAAAAACACAGGGGAAATACGGTGCGATACCACAGCTTAGAAGCGAACTCACCAGCAACCAACTCACCAATACTCAGGGCACACTCACTTGCGTGACTACTGATTTTTCTCACCTGCGCCTGCGAAATTCGACCAGAACCTGCCTGCACTTGTGCCCGTTTTGGGTTCCTGTAGACTTTCGAGTGAGCAGTACGTAGCCGAGTAGTCGCCCAGGATCCAGTACGATGCCGTACAGATGGGCCGAGGAGGTGATGGCAAGGTGATGGCAAGGTGATGGCAAGGGGATGGCAAGGGATGGCAGGCGATCGAGGAGCCTCGGCTTTGAGCCCCTCCTGTACGCTGGAAACCGATGATGCAGGGTCCACAACAACTCCCATTCGGGAGTCAGACTTCCTTCAGCTCCTCCATGACGGAGTAGAAGAGTCTCAACAAAACTGCAATGGGAGCTCGGACGGAGGGGCTCGGCCCTGAATCGGGGAGGGAGTGCGGAAGACAAGCTGAGCGGCGAAGTTGAACAGGGCACCCCTAAAGAACCAAAGGGCAAGGACGAAAGACCAAGCAACCCCCGACCCCGAACAGCGCGGGGACAGCCTAAGCCCCCACTAGATAAGGTTCGACCCCTGAGCAAGGAAGGTCAGCAACTGAACACCAATCGTGCTTTCAGCGCCGCATATCTACTTTCCTGGCTGCTTCCCTGTCCACCTATGCAACTTTGAGGACATCACACGCAAGACTTAGACATGAGAACCTTCTCAGCACGAGCGCAAAGAGCTTCCACCAGCGAGGATGCCTCACGTCGACATCACATGTCACACAGCAGGCATTGCCGTAAAAATAAGCTGCACAAATAGTTTGACACCTCCGTGGATATTCAGTCCACTTGTCGAAACTCACTGATCATGCACCGCCCATCCGGCTAGCTGTTGTGCCTAGCCTGGTTCTGGTGCAGCCAGAGGTAGGGCCCACGGAGACCTCTCTGCCGTAAAGCAGCCAGAACATCCAAGGCTTGTGCGATATAGGCAAGCTGCCTAGGTGTCGCATCACGTTGCCAACAGTGTGCCGATAGTTTTTGTGAACACCACACGGCACAGGTCTGCAGAAGCTGATGCTCGACCAGCTGCCATGGAGTGAGCGAAGGGGCCAGCAGGGCACATGTTGGTAGCACCGGCCGCAGCCTGGGTTTCACAACTATCAACAAAGAGCCTCAACCTGCACCCCCTTCTTGGCATGTCGGCATGTCCTGTCATGCGTTGTCTAGTCACCAGTCATCTGCCCGTGGCCATGATGCCCAGGTGCAAACGCATCGGCCTGGCAAGGTCCACCAAGAAGACCGCAGCCGCCGCCGATGCACTGAAGGTGTGGGCCAGCTGAGCAGCAAATGGAAAGTCGAGAGTCGAAAGAAGGGTTAGTTTGTATCAAGTTGCTAGTCTGTCTGAATTATTGTTATGCATGTTTGCTTTGCAATTGTTGCGTAGTGACCGGAGAGCAGAGATACTTGAGAGCCAGGCTTGCGTGCCCGTCAGATCTTTGGCCACGAGCTTCGCCCCCAACATGTCAAAGAAATCCGCGCCACCGCGTCCTTAAATTGTTGGCTGAGGCTGAAGAAACTCAATCACAACTGAATCAAAGTATATCAAATGTTCAGTTCCTGTAGCCGCTGCCAAAAAGAGCTGTCGGATCGGCATTCAATGCACAACCACAAATGCACTCAGAGGGGCTCAGACGCATGGTGGCATGAAGGATCACTGCAAGCTCCGAGGAGTTGAAACCATGCAGCTTGCGCCCCACGTACTCTTCGAATTCCCAAGATGTCATAGGCACGGACTTGTCCAAGTGCAAAGTTTCAGCATCAAGTCTTTGGAGCTGTGGGCATCTGTGCTGGGCTAAGCCATTGACCACGAAGGTCAAGTCAGTAGGCGAAAACAAGTCCGATCGGTTTGATGATGTCAGCAGCTGTTCCAGCGCCTCATAGAAGGGTCCAACGCTCGTGCGGGAGGCACCCACCTTCATAAGAGCACGGGCCAGAGACGCCAGCTGCCAGGGCGCGGCCTTGGGCAAGAGCTCGACCAACCTCAAAACAATCCTCTGCCAAGCTTCCTCCGATCCTTCAGCCAATTCAACAGCAGCACGCGCGGCACGACGGCTCCCTGCAATGGCAGTGCAGAGGAGCGTCAAAGACTGCGCATCCCATTGGGGAAGTGTGTCCAGCGCATGGTCGAACATGTGCTTGGAGAGCACGGCGTCGCTGTCGTGACGCAACCTATCTCCCAACTGTACATTGCAACAGAACGACATGACATAAGACATGTGTCCCAGCTTCAAGAAAGAGGCTCTCATTCTCCTGCCTGACGAAGGCCGCCAGCAGCTGTGCAGCTTGAAGAGGACGGTCTTTCTCCAACTGAACCTAGACGACCAGTTTGCACAGAATCTCTCCTCCATGCCACAGCAACGGCAGCGCCCTTGAATCTTCAAGGCATACAACCCCTGCCTTTCGCACAGCCTTTGCAAGGCTTGCCACAGATGCTGAGTCCGGAAAGCCTGGATGTGCACCAGTCGAGGGAACGCAGCCCGAAAGCCCATGCAGTACCATCTGGAAGTCCCTGGCATTCAGCTCCTCCAACAACAAGGACAAGGAAAGATAAAACATGGGGGGGGGGGGGGGGGGGGGGGGGGGGTCACCACAAGTCACAACACCACTTGCTGCGTCTGAGGTGCAGTTTGGAGTTCAAGTGCCCGATGGAGAAGGAGCTGCGCGGCTTCCACTGATGGTGATGCTGCCAAGGCGTTGCAAAACAGTGCAAGCTCACCTGGGCCGACCACCCTGTCTTGTTGAGATGTCAACGGCCCAATGGCCCAAACAGAAAATACCCTTCAGTGCCGTCGCAGAAAAAACGGGAGGGCCAAGCCAAGTTACGCGGCTGCAGACTGGACTGGTTCTGGCGTATGACCTGAGCCCTTGCAGAGGGAAACTGCCAGCGCATTGATGTTGACTTAGCACAAGTCATCACTCATCTTGCCAAGCCGCGTGAGTCACCTCTACCCAGAAGTCCGTCTGATGCTCCCCCAGCGGAAGCCGTGACAAGCGTTGAACAGCACATGCAAAATCCCAGCAGGAGGTGCCCAACGTCTCTGCATGCCCGCCCGTCGCCTTCGCCTGTCAATCTGTGGAGAGCTTCTCCGCGTCTACACACCCACACAGAGCACACCAAGTTCGGGTCCGACCTGTGATGCCTCGCGTTGTTGGCGCAGGGCTCCCACAAGGCCCTCCACGAGGTGGAGCACTCTCTGCTGGTTGCTCTGCCGGATGGCCAACAGCAGCTCCCGAGACACGTTAAAGCCAGGTCCCCACATTCACCGGCGCCAGCATCCAATGAAATTGCTGCCATGCTGGCAGGCAATTTGCCAAGCATTGCTAGGCCTAGTTGCAATCTTCCACTATTGGCACTGGCAACTGTTGACAGTTCGTCAAATGTCTAGCATATAACAGTACAGATGCGAGCTTGTTTGTCGTGGGTTCAGGATCCTTCTGGGCTGAGTCGATTTAACTTGTCAAAGCCCATCGCTGACGTCCACCCAAATGCTACAACTGGCAAGCTCGGGCCGCATCGCCGTCACATCCTGAGCCACGACATGAATATTGAGAAATCAGGCGTGGTGGCCGAGTGTCACCGCAGCCTGTCTGTCTTTTGACTGATGTCAGCCACTTCTCTACCGCTCATGTCGCATTCGACAGCTCCGCTCAAAGTGGAGGCGAGAGAGAGGTGAAACTCCTGGCAAGTCAACAAGGGCAAACAAAGTCAATCAGAGCGAGCCTTTGAACAGGTCTCGGATGGAATATCCAGTCACTTGCCGGTTCTTTTGCGGTGTTGTTCTGATCTCTTGTGCGTGCTTTTTCAGCCTCTGGGGCCAGCCAAATCATGCCAAACCCCGAACAGGGAGCTCCCATACATGTTGGGTTGCAGTGGTATCTTCCGGAGAACCAAGTAAGGTTGCTTTGATTCAGTTTCTGCCGGGCGTTCGGCAGAGCTCAAATTGAGGATTCAAGGGCTACATTGACTACATCGCACAGGCTTATTCTCTGGGAGCATGGTAGAGAGCGGGATCTTGTGGATGTCAGTGCGGAAAGGGCGTCAACAGCGTCTTGGCGTTGAGGTCTTATGTGGCCCTGGCTTTAGAGACCTCAGCCTCCAGGTTCAGTGTTCTGGTTTCCTTTCAGGCTGAGAGCGGTTGAGTTGCAGTCTTGCATTCGGGCATAAACCGCTCCTTCGCCCCTTCCCGAGCCTCCAATGCCGGTCCAAGCAGGTTGCCGACCGGACCTCAGGCAACTCAAGCAACCCTCACAGGAATCACTGAGCATCGGAGAAGGCAACGCACAAAACGCCACTGCAGATGAGCAAATCGAAGCGCAACTTCCAAAATGTGGGCCGATGGCTCACAAAGCTCCGGCTTGGAAGCGCATCCAGGCAGTCGAAGAACTGGCAAACCACTCCAACATCTCCAACTCCGAGCCACTGCCAACGATAGCTTCAGGCTCCAGCCGGCTGTCGAGGGCGAGTCATCGATGACAGCCGAATGGCCTGGAGGGCCATTTACGTTCAACTGCCGCCTCGCAACAGAAGGCAGGCAGACTTCATCCAGAGCAAAACAGGCCCGGCAAGGGCCTCTTTCAGAATCGTTGCCAGGAGCTGCTCCTTCCGTTCTCGGATTGGCACCGAAAAGGAAAAGCACCAGCAGAGCTCTTCTTGCTTCTCGCGTTATATACTCACCTTTCACCCTCACCTGTCGCTCGGCGGAGCATGCCGTGGCCCAGCCAGTATTGGCAGGCTCCTGAAAGCAGCTGCATCAGCATCTCTAGAGAAGCGCCCTGCAAGCGGCGTGCTTGGTTACTTCATAAACAGCTCACTTCGCTCCCAGACTGCTGCTCACGTCCTGGAAAGTGGGCTGGCAGGCTTTTCGGCAACACTGCAAGCCCAGGACTTGCAGCGGCAGCCTTGTCGAAACAACTGCTCAACTAACTGGTCAGCAACAAAAGCAACAAACCTGAGCAACAACATGCAACTGCCAAGCATATCCAGTACACTGACTGTGTGTCAACTGCCGCACCTGCAGTGCACCTGCAATGTCGCTAGCGTCCAGACAAAATTCCCAATGTGCTGCGTGTCGGACCTGGAGGCATCAATCCCAAATGTCCTGAACAACTGTTTCGCGCTGTCTTTGCTTCTGTTGCAGTGCGTGTCGTAAGCATAGAAAAGACTGAGATCGCAGCTCTTCAACTCAGCTGAAGGCGCTTTTCATCGTCGCACCTGCAAGGAAGCCACTGCCACTTCGCGCAGAAGAGATCCTTGCAATGCCTATGGCTCTGCACAATCCAAGACCTACAACGGTTCCTTCCACCAACTCTTTTCAAGTGTGACTTCAGGAGTGACCCAAGGTGGCCTTTCAGGGCGGTGTAGTGATTTCTCAGTCAAGAACTGTAGACTGTACTGTATGCCATGACAGAAAGCCGCACACGAATGCCCCGACACCGGCTCAACCAAGTTCGTATCGGTTTATGTCTGTTCCGAGAGCAAGGTTCAAGATTTGGGCGACTGAGCCAGGCTACGCGGCGTATTTCCGGGAATCCTTATTCGTTTGGTCGGAGAACAATGGGCATCATGCCATCCTCGGAACACAGGCTCTTGGACTCTCAAGAAGGTAAAGTGATGAGAGCTTCGGGGCGCCTGGTGAAGCTTCGCCACCTCGGCAAGAGAAATCATATGGGGCCAATGGCACATGGGCATAACAAAGGCCTGGGGAAACCTTTTGTCAAAAACAATAGTTGTGTATTTCTCCGTATGTGTCTCTACAGCGAAGCACATGAAACGCAAAACCCTAGCGACTAGCGGGTGAGGCATGCTGCTCCTGAGACCGTTTAGCCTTCGGAACTTGAGGTGCAAGGCCAAACCTCCCAGATTCTTCCCCTGGAGAGTTCAATGCAGTAGGTTCAAATTCAAGCCATCTTGCAGTGTGAAAGCATGCAAATGGCCGATGTGTCGCCGAGCCACGGTAGCTCACCACCGCCCACGTCCAGGCCGTGTTGACCAAGTTCTGGTTGGTGGAACACCTTAGCGACATTGGACTCTGAACTCACCGATGCTCAGACTAAACACACACGCTCTGAGGCACCCGCGCAAGCTTTTGCAGTAAGGTGCAGCCTGGACCTCAACTTCTGTAGCAATCGGCGCAGCTTGGGGCACCATCTGTGCTGTGCAGCAGAAGATACCAAACGTGACGGGCTCAAGACCCTGTAGCAATGCCAGGCCATTGTATCCAGGTCTCCTGCGCCCCCGAACCTGCCAAGCAACAGCATTCAAAACTCTGTGCTGCCGGGATCGACGCACCGTCTGGTCACAGGAGACCATGAGACTCTCCTCTCTTAAAACTGGCCTGATTTGCGATGGCCTGTGGGTCAAGCTCATGCTTCAGCTGGAGGCCTCGCGAGACCATCTCCAGCAAGGCTCTCCAAACTTTCCAAACCATGGGATGCTCATGGATGCCCTGATGCTCGTACGGAGTCATGAATTTTCAGCCGAGGTTCCTTGAGAACAGAGCGCTTCCATCGACGGTTGCCATCTGGCCGAAGAGAGACCACTCAGAAACACAAGCAGCAAGGCGACCTATACTCAGCATGGTCATCATGAAAAGCTATTTAGCACTGCGCCAAAAATCATGCTGTTCCATTTATACCAGCCGTGAGCTATTTGTGAGAAATCATGTGAAAGCAGCAACCTGTGGTGAAAGAGCATGGCATCCACTGCACTGGAATCTCCCAATCTCAAAAACATTCCTGTTGTCCTCGAAGCAGTGTTTTGATCATTTTTGATCACTACTGAGTCACTACTGTGTTCAGAAGCTGCGTTCGACTCCAAAGTCCGGAGGTGCAGGAGTCGTGGGTCATACTTCACTTGCGCTGGCAGAGTTCGGACTTCATGAGATGAAATTGTTGAAGTAGACCAGCCAAGAAGACGCTGCTATCGGAGTCAGTTCTCATGAGAACTGAATGAGTTTGAAACTGCGCGAGGAAAGTACCGTTTAGATCACTACAGAAAGCTAGAGAGGCGAAGAACGGGGGCATTGACGAATAAGAGGTGCTCTCAGGTTCACAAGCGTTTTCGTTTGGGCTCTTGTTTGTGGCGCACCATCGCATGTGCATGCGACAGCACGGCTGGGGTGATGACAGCGGAAAGGCAGCAACATAAGCACTCCAAGCATTAAAGCCTGCCACATCGAGGCGCTGCATACCTCTCCAGAAGAGCATACTCGCATGAAACGGGCTCATCTCTTGTCAAACGTTGTCAACATTTGGGAGCAGCAACGCTCGGATCGATCATGTTCGGGCCTTCGGGCCAGATTGCTGGGATGTTGCGGGTCAGATTCCTCTCGGCTGGATGCGGAAAGCAACGTTTGCCAGCCCACCAATCCCCAGAAACAAAAATCACCGAGGTCAAAGCAGAAACTTTCACTTTCGCCGTCTCGTCAGTCGTCTTCAGCGGCAGAAGGCCCACTGCCTTCATGCAGTGCTCCATACACTGCTCCATGCAGTGCTCCATGCAGTGCTCCATGCAGTGCTCCATAAGAGTGCCAATCAAGGCAGATGTGAGCACCTTGTTTTCAAGGCATTTCTGCACTAAACGTGCTTTGCTATAAGCGACCATGTGCTACAAGTTAGCTTGGCATCGCAGCTGCCTTCCCGCATTGGATCAAGACTACTCTTGCAAGCCGTCATGATGCAAAATTGGGTGAATTGCATTGCTCAGTCATGCAGTCTTTGACTGCAAGCCCTATATTCGACATGTCCATGCCACGTCACATCTCATGGAAACCCTCCAATATGCTCTTACTTCGTGCCCTTTGACAAATCGAAATCGAGCGCACTTCTTCACATGCCTCCAAAGTGCTGCAATCTCATGCGAGATTGGCCAAGTTCTGCGGATCCATACTGTTCATGGCCTCCAGAGGTAGACATGGTAAGCAGACATGTCAGTGACAAGTAGCTGGGCAGCCTCTCTGCCCCTAAAACTGGCAGCAGCAATTGCCGGCTGCTTCCCGGATGCCAACCTGGAAGCTCTCCAGTCATAGATCACGACTACGTTGCAAAGCAACAACAGCAAGCAAATCAAAAACATCAGCAAACCACAGCCTGGCAGATGACTGCGCCAGGTTTGCCAGGCCTTGATTCCCAGACCAGCCTCGGAAGCTGCTGCTCACGTTGTTTGGGGACATGCTGTGGTATAGCCGGATATCTATGCCTCTGGCACTGCTGTTGAAGTGCAGCGTCTGCAATTGCCGTAGACACCTCTGACGGCAAAAATCTGATGGAGACCAAAGAACACGGAGAGGCCAATCAGTAAACGGAGAAATGAGGAAAGCACGCATAGTGATATACTCTGACAAACAGACCTTGACATAGTAATGAGAAAACAACGCAGATCTGCAAATCACAGAGCACACCTGAGTACAGAGGCAAAAGGAACGAAGGGGAGCTCAGCAAATAGAAAAACTAAAGTCGAGAACAAGTTAGGCAAGCTCACAACAAAGACAACATCAGAAAACACACGCGAAATCGAAAACCAGACAAGGTTCAAGACAAAACAGAGGCCAAGATCAGGAGAACAAAAGAAATAGAACGTTAACCCGACGAAAAGCCCCCTAAACCTTAAAAATCCTAAGCCTTAAACAACCCAAATCTCAAAAATCCTAACCTCTGAAACAAAAAGCAACAAAAACACAAAAGAAAACAAAACAAAAAATGAGAAACAAATATAAATATAGAAATATATATATATATATATATACATATGTATACATATATGTACATACACATATGTATAGCTAAATAGATGGATAGATAGGAGCCCCAACACCCCCCACCAAAAAAAAAACATGAGGCCTGAAATCCCAGGTCCAAAGCACAGCAGCAACCGCACAAGGAAATGCTGTACTCAGATTTGGTTTCGGGTTTGCATATTTCGTTTGTCTGTCTTTTCCGTATCTGGTCCTCCTTTGCTTTTTGGGGGGTTTTCTTCTGATTTGGACCGATGCTTTCTGAAACCCTCTGCTCTGCGCTCGGCACCTCCTCGCCTGCTGCGAGCGGAGCAGCCTCGTCTATTCGAGCTCTCCACGCGCTTTAGATAGCCATATCCCTATGTAGCATCCGAGCGGACCTAACACTTTGCAGCGCAAGACGACGGATCGACTCAGGCCAGAACGAGGGCCCAGGCAGCATTTGCTATGTTCTGTGGCGAAAGTCCGGATGCCGTGGCGCGGACAGTTCCTCTGCACACACTGAGAGGACAGAGCATTGTCATCTGACCCACGCCCCGAAGGCCTCTGATGGCCATTGTCAAGGCTGGCTCTCGCAACGACATCTGCCCGCAGCCCCAAATGATGTTGGCAGGCCCTTGGGGTTCGGAGCCTGCACACCCAAGATCACCCAAGCTTTTGAAACTTTGACAGGGATTTCCCAAGGGCCTGCACCTTCTCGGGCTATTTGGGCAGCCGACGCTGCCAAGGAGGGCGCGTCTCGCCGTTGTGATATGGCGCAGTCCTTCGATCTCCGGTCTGTCGAGTCTATGGCAAGGGCATGCAAGGGCCACAGTTGAACGGAAAGCCATGAGCCTGAGCAGCGTTGGCCGGGCCCTGCGAAGTTTGTTGGGCCAAGCCTCAACACAAGCGTCCAGCATATAGCTGTAATTCAACATGTCCGGTCTCACCCGTCGATCTCGACCTGTCGACGCATTCACAACAGCAGCACTACTGCCTGCAGCACCTCTTATTGAGATAGCTTCCATTGCCAGCAAGTCGGGAGAAGTCACCTCGGACTCAACAACCCCCTGCGTTTTCGACTGTGAGCTTCTACGTCTTCAGTTCATGAGGCCACTACCGTCGCCAGCGATCACAATATGTTGGCCACTGCCTTGTGGTCAGCGCCGCAGACAGTCCAAATCAGACAAACGGACTGACTTTTACTGCTCCAACCTGGACACAAAGTCAACAATGCTGGCCTGGGGATCGCGACCGCCAATCTTCGCAGCAAGGTGTCGGCATGCTGCATGGAGCCTTGAACTGCAGCAAGTACTGGCAGACGATTACAGTCGTGCAGCTTGAGCTGCAGGCAATCTTCGATGCACGTGTTGCGTCGGAATACGCTGCCCAAGACCTGTTGGCAGTGTCACCCTTGCGCTGCGATTTCAAGGAGCTTGGGAGCAGCGGACCTTGTCTGGGGGTGTCCGCCCTCCCCTGTGTTTCCCGCCCTTTGGGATGGGGCCAAGCATTTCTTGGGGGATGGCTCTCTTCCCGAGCTTTTGAGAAGCTACTCCCCCACATCCTGTGTGCGGATTGGCGATTTGGGCAGGCGCTTTCTTTTGCAGCCAGTAGCCTTTTGCAAGAATGAAAGCTTAGGAGGGAACTGGCCCTCTCTCTTGAATTGAGTCTTATGCTGTCTCTGAATGTTGGTCGGGGGCAGAGCATGGCATAGCATTCAATCGTCCGGGTACGACGGGAGGACATATTTAAGAAGAGAGAAGGTAGAAAGACTAGTAAAGATGTCTGGAACATGAAGGCAGCCCATAACGAGAGAGGCTTGTAATGAATTTCAGTGCCTTGCTGCAGTCATTGAAGAACATGTTCAGGAAGAAAATCAGCCATGCACCTTCTGAGGGAAACAGAACTCGGCGTCATTGAAACATGCCTACTAGGAGTTCTTAAAGCCAGCAATCCTCGGCTGCGCCAGCCATTGCGGCTACCAATGCCATACTTACCCTACTACTGCCTCTGTGGACTGCCTTTGCTTCTGCACGAACATGGAGCATCTCTCACACTTATGGCACGTAAACATGGGGTACTTCAAGGCGCTTGCTGCTGAGCCTCTTGCGGACAGGTGTGGTCACAGATCTCCAGGCCCAAAGCTGTGCATCAATGGAAAGGCTTCCAATGTTCTGCCCCCATGACGAGGTCCAACAAACACAACGATGTTTCTGAGTGGCAGCATTCACACGCTGTGCTGGTCTTGAAGTGGTTGAAAGTTGGACAGACCTGCGCACTGTCTACCAGAGTCTGCAACGCAACACTTTCGGCAAAAGAAGTTGCACTCAGCGTTCTGCCAGCACAGTAAGGACAAGATTCCTTTTTGCTCAACCGCACAGTCAGGAAACTTGTCCATTCTCAGATTATGAAGAGTTGCCTCGCCTCATGTTGCCTTTTGCATCTTCTTCTCAGCGAGATTCAAAGAGGTGTTCATGTTCGTGGTGCTCCTTCCTGTCACAGCTGCCAAGGTGCAGCCCCGACTGTTGCCGGTACGTGCTCACAGCTTTCTGGACGGTGATGAAACCCTCCACGAAGAAGGAAGAACAGGGGGAAGGTTGGCCACGGAGTCGCAGACACAGGGTCCTGTGAATGTTGTTCTCTGCTTCGTGGTGACGAAGGCGGACTTGGAAGAATCGAGCTTCACGGCGCTATGTCTGTGCATGTTCATTGCCAGCCGACTCCATGGAAGTGCTGTCGGTGTCAGCCCTGTCTAGCAAGCGGCACACATTGCCTCAGCAACACATGAACGGATGCCAATGACACCAAAACAAATATAGGACTTCCCAGTTTTTGTTGAGAAAAACTGCCAAGGCTGTGGGCAAAGGCAGCTGTTTGGGGAATCCGAGCGGCGTGTGCAGGGATGTCCACCTAAAGATCGCACCAACCCCCCAAAAAACCCCTGGCACTCAAACTGAAGATGCTTTGGATCTACAGAAGCACAGAGACAGAGTAGTACAGAGTAAGTACATGAAATGGAGCATGCTGCCACGATGCCTAGAGATTGCCAAGCAACTTCCCAAGGATCGCCGAAGGATGTGAAGAGATGCCCTCAGCGCACGCTCACCTCAGAGCTTCCGAAGCTGACTGCCGGGATGCCAAAATCAAGCTTTCACGAAACCTGACATTGACATACACGACATGTGAAACGAACTGCTGGGATTTCTGAGCATTTCTGCCTGCTGCCGGGTCCACGCCACAGAGCACCTCACAGTTCTCATTCACGCATCTTGCCACAAGTGGGCTGTGGATGTGTGAGAGTATAGGCCTTCCCATAATCCTTTAGAGCATCGGCGTACTGCAGGCTGTTCGTCCTTCCGGCCAACCTTGCCAGCATGCTAGGCACACTTGCGAAAGATTGTGAGGAAGATTCATGTCACTTGCACACCTTCTGCCAGGATGCTGGAAACATCGAAGAGAGTTCTGAAAGGTTGTCCTTGGAAATGGCTTGGCTTGGATGACAAGACTGCAGTCCATGCAGGGTCTGGACAAACATAAAAGAATCCTCCAAGGCTACTACGCTCATGCGACAGTGCACCATGCGCAGCCTCCTGTGCCCGTACTATGCATGTGGACTCGGGTACGGGCATCGAACGAGGGCCAAGTATTGATGGCAGGCAGTGATCGGTATCTCATGCGATCTGGGGATGTTTTGGAGGAAAAGGGCAGGAGCAGCAGCTCCTAGGGCAGTGACATGGGGCTCTCAATATGGGCCCTTCAATGGAGACCCCTTATATACTCTTATATACCTTATACAACCCAAGGGTCCATACTTCAGAACCCTGTAAAGGAGGTAAGGGACCATATGAAGGGACCATGTAACTACCCCCAGAGCAGCGGGGGCAGGTGGACGTGAGCGCACACCAAGAATCAAGGACCGCTGCACAACTTCCGTCGAGTCTTCTCGCACCACTGCCTTGTCAGGGCTCTTTCCGCACATATGCCCACTCCGTCTCCCTCAGACTGCTGCCTGCTTCGTGATTAACGCAGCGGTGGCCAACAACTGGGCAATGCCTACTTCTGCCGACATCTGTCAAGATTGGCATAGATGGTCAACAAGATTGCCAAGAGCATCCGAGCATCCTGGCTCGTGTACTGAATCAAAAAAATCCGAATCATTGGGACAGAGAATAGAGGTGTGGCCGTGATGTTTTGCAACTACATTTGCGTGAACAAACTCCCCCCCCTTGTGCAGCATTGTGCAACATGCACCTGGCAAAAGAAAGACTCGCCCATGGCAGCATACCTTGGCAACTCTGGTGAAGGAGAGAGCTGCACTCACACAACAGAATCTCACACGTCGACGCTGTGATGCCCGCAATTGCTGAAGCTCCAATTACATGCAGCTGTGCCACAAGATGCCTTGCCAAAAAAGCGCATGCTCGCCGGAACTGACCTGTCGGACTAAGCGGTCCGATGTCCGAATGCAACGTTGACACGTTGACTGTAGCAAAAATGTGCTTTACCAGCTCGCGCAACGTTTGGCAGATATGGAGAGTAGCAGCCACTTGGATCGAGAAGCAGCTTGTTGGGATGACAAGAAAGGTGCTTGATTTAGTTTACAGCTAGGTGAAGCAAGGATAAACTTCCAACCTCTGCTGCCAGTCGAAGACTACTACGTCTCGGGCTGTGGGATCTCAAGTTTGGAACTTCTCCTACGTGTCCTTTGCAGCCTCCGGTCTGAACATCAGAAAGCAAGGTCTTGCTATGTAATCATGCAAAGATGGTTGCTGGGGGGCTGACAATCCCAAATTTCACGATCATCAAATCTACGTTGTCGAAATGTGCAACATGGATCCCGCTGCTTTCTGCGGAGTTGCAAATAACTAAGACGGCACCTTTTTGACTAAATCCCAGCTTGAACTTTTGCTGGTTCTTCAATGTCAGGCAATATACCATGGGAGGTGAAAGAGCACGCATGCCCGCACGCGTACACACACACACTCTCTCTCTCTCTCTCTCACTCACACCCACGCACGCACGCACGCACGCACGCACGCACGCACGCACGCACCCACACACACGCACACACACACGCACACACGCACACACGCAACACACGCACACACGCACACACGCAACACACACGCAACACACGCAACACACACGCGCACACGCGCACACGCGCACACGCGCACACGCGCACACACGCACACACGCACACACGCACACACGCACACACGCACACACGCACACACGCACACACGCACACACGCACACACGCACACACGCACACACGCACACACGCACACACGCACACACGCACACACGCACACACGCCCACACGCACACACGACAGACAGCACAGAGACAGACAGACAGACAGACAGACAGACAGACTGACAGACAGAAAGACAGACAGACAGACGACAGACAGACACAGACACAGACAGACAGACAGACAGACAGGACAGACAGACAGACACACACACACACCACACACACACACACACACACACACACACACACACACACACACACACACACACACACACACACACACACACACACACACACACACACACACACACACACACACACACACACACACACACACACACACACACACACACACACACACACACACACACACACACACACACACACACACACACACACACACACACACACACACACACACACACACACACACACACACACACACACACACACACACACACACACACACACACACACACACACACACACACACACACACACACACACACACACACACACACACACACACACACACACACACACACACACACGCGCACAGATATGTATATATATATATATATATATTGACATGGAGGACCAAGGCGAGCACAGCATCGATTACCTTTTCTGACTGCTTCTTTGACCGGCCATGGTGATAAGCTGCCGAATGAGTCTTTCCACAGTGTAGGTGGAAGCCCGGATCCATGAGAATCATGTCATCGCAAAGTCTGCTTCACTTGGCGAGACAGGCTCTGCTGCCTGATCTTGCAAATGCATGCCTACTCACTTGCCTTCGCTCAACGAGGAAGGCTGGCCAGGTATGCAGCTTGCTGACGCTTCTTCTCATATTTGGCACAATCTAGCGGAGTTTTGCCCAACGCGTTCTTCTCCGCCAGCAGTTCTGGAGCCTGCAAGTCGCCAGCAAGTGGTTGGAGCTGACCCCGATACAACCCCGACACTACCGGCTAACTACCACAAGACTTTGAAGAGGGACGCGCCTTGTGAACGAGCAGGCGAAGCAATCCCATGGTCTTCTCAACCCCCCAAGACTCGATGTTGCCGCCGGCCACCAAGTGCATTGCCGTTTGGTTCATGTTGGGGGTTCGGACACGGAGGTCCGCTCCCGCGGCGATGAGCAACCGCACCTCATCCACCTTACCCCAGGAGGCAGCCGCAAGCAGTGGAGTCATCCCAGATGCGAAGCCACTGCCGCTCCCTTCAGACACGGTGTTGGGATCTGAGCCACCCTCCAGCATCTTAAGCATCACATCCTGACCCGGCGCAAGGCCCTCAGTGAAGCAAGATAATAGCCTCTGGTCAGCATGACGATCAAGCCTCTTAGTGGCCTCCGCTCTTTTGACATTCGCCTCTGTCTCATGGAGCTTGTTCTGCATCTCCCGCGTCGATGTCAAGCCCTTTACATCAATTCCCTGCCTGAAAAGCTCCTCCTTGATCTCTGTGGGGCTTCGATGGTCGGCCGTGCGCACGGCGGGTTTTGTGATGACCGGGCCAGCTCGCGGTCGCGGCGCCGACCGAGGCATCGTTGGCATCGTTTGGGGCATCGTTTGGGGCATCGTTTGGGGCATCGTTTGGGGCATCGTTTGGGGCATCGTTTGGGGCATCGTTTGGGACATCGCTTGCGGCACCGCTGGCATGGAAGGAGCCGAAGGCGCCGTCGCTCCTGGCACACCAAAGGCACCCAAGCCCATGGGAAAGGCCACAGCCGGGTTGGTCATGCCAGGGACACCCGTTGTCATGGCATTTGTCATGGCCAGCAGCGATGCCATGGGATCCAGACCCGACATCGGGGGTCCTGCCGAAAAGCTCGACATGGCACCCCCAAAAGGTATCGCAACACCACCCGATTCACCATTCGACTCCATTCTGGGTCGCTTTGCTGGCGGCGCTCCATCCATCATCTGTCACACTGCGGCAGGCAGATTATCCATGGGTCGCAATTTGGGTGCTGCTCAGCTCGTGACAAGTAGCTGTCTCAAGGAACTGCTGTTGAAGTACGGCTGGAAGTGACCGCACTGAAAAGTTCTGGGGCCATGCCTGCAAAACCTGCATATACAGCCACCCACATCTACCCATTTTGCATAGGTCTCCACACTGCCTCTACTGCCTCTACCAAAGTGATGAGGAATTTCATGCTGCGCAATAACTTTGCTCTGCACGTGAGCAAATCAGCTAAACAGCAGCATGGATAGAGTGCTGATGAGCCCGTACAAGGACCTGAGGTCTCCAACACTGTGGTGTTGTGCATCATGCCTCCGAGATCGCGACCTGGATCCTTCAGCTACAGCAAAGCCTCTTTGTGAAAAATCGCTGATGCTACACGGCGTTCTACAAAGCGAGACCCGGGCTGGTGCTGCGCCAGCTTGAACATCTCATCCGGACTGGTCCACTGCGCAAGCATGCGCTCGCGCCTCGCCCCTGCACGCATCCAACCCAACATAGAAAAACACCGTGAAAAGCACGACGCCGTGCTGGCCTTGCATGTTGCAGAGGGCCAGGCTGTGGGCCGCCGAGCTCAACGTCCTCGCCAACATCAGCCGAGCCCGCGGCAGGCCTCAGCTGAGCCCATCAAAGGCCTTCCGCGCCCGTGCCATTTCAGAATGAACGCTTGCGAACGCTTTCGAACGCTGTGCGCACACAAAACGCACGCCGGTGGGAACCTCCCAGCCCCAGACCCCAACTCTTGAAAAAAGGAAGCCTACTGCTGCGCATTCGGGAAAACCAACACTGTCTTTGCCGAGTCAGTGCAGTTCGGCCACCCCAGAGAGGTACAAGCTCTCCGCCGCCTCTGATGGAAACATGCACCACACAAAACATCTCGAAACTCTTTTCAATCACAAACGAATGACATCGGGTGGAGGGTGACTCTGACACGTGTCCCCGCTGCGAGGACCTTGAGGATCTTGATCAATATCCAGTGCTTGAGATGCGCTGCTCAGGGCCTCAGAAGTCAAGAAGCTTGAACAAGGAACCTAGTGACTGGAAAATGCTATTGCATTCAACTATTTGAACGGTCTAACTCAATTTCAAAGAGGCATGGAGTGGGGTTTGCCCCTACCCATCCCCCCGCAACTCCACCGGCCCCAGCCCCAACACCCCAACCCCCATGCTTTGAAGAATCGACTTTACTCAAGATGGCCTCCTCGAGCTCAGCCAGAGCACTTGGGCGAGAAGATACCTTGGTTGGAATCGCGAAGTGTATTGCTGGCACTACTCATGCAAGTGCTCAACTCAACCCTGATGCACACACTACAGGCGCGACAGACCACTGCAGCCAGAGGTCGTAAGTCCTCGCATACGCCCGCAGGTTTAGCAGCTCTGCCACATCCAGCAACACCTCCGAGAGGCACTGTCGCACTGAAAAGCCACCTTCGGCACCTGGCCTCTTGCAAGCATGGGAGTTGCTGCCGAATGGCCTTCACAGTGTTCACAGGTGAGGCGAGGCGCTGCCAAGGCTGCAAGCTCAAGTTCTGCCTTGCTCACAGATAGCCGTGCCAAAGGGAGGCCGCCACGGATGTCCCCGGCATCGAACGCCAAACGCCGGAGCCTCAGCATGATGTAGAGTGTAAAGTAAGCGCGGCCGACGTGTGTAGTTCGTCTATGTTCGTCTGCACTTGAGTGTACTCCGGCAAGATGCAGCTTGCGCTGCAGGGGCAGGAGAGTGGCCGGACCAGTTGCTCCCAGCACTTGGGCGCTTGGACAGGGCAACCCCAGCGAGAAGCATACAGAGCACCTGCAGGTAAAGGGACGCTGAACAAACAGCTAGCAGCTCACAAAACATGCCCAGAAATAAGAGAAGAACGGCACCTGCCAGTCAAGTCCCTGAGAAACTGTCGAACTCCTGTCTCTGATAGTTGCTGTCCACTGTCCTGAGGCCCCACGAAGTGGACACGCCAAGGCTGGACGGATGACTAGACATTTGCTGGGGCCAGCGCCAAGTTGTCCACAATATTCGCGGACTAACACACCGACGGCAGAAAGAAACGACATGATGCTCAAGGTGCTTGGAATGCCATTGTGCACGTGCTGCACGGAGGCCTCCGCAGATCGGAAGATGGAGGCTAAGGCCCAGTTTGCAACCAAGGGCCTTGGAACAGGCTGCAAGCATGCAGCTTGCAGCGGCATTCGCCATGTGCCTGCTTTCCTGCCCCCGCCCCCCCCCCCGGCCTTCTCAACAGGAATTCTGCTCGCACGTTCCGCAAGCTTCTCCTGCAACCAAGTCTTCGAGCAACAGTTAGCCCATCTCCGTTGAGAGAATAGGCTCGTGAACCAAGATCTTGCCGGCGACAAGCATTCATCTCATTCAACTATCGCAGTCAAGCAAAGTATTTGTGGTCTTGCACAAGTAAGGCCTGGCGCAATCTTCCACAGCCACCCGCCAGCGCATGCAAGCTGCAGCCGCGCCTTCCGGAACCAAACTGGAACCAAAGAACTCAACTTCGTTGGTGTTTGCAAGGTTGGCAGCATTCTTAATCCTCCGAGTGGCGGCCCAGCGTCGCAATCCCTGGACCGTGCGGCGCTAGCGGTTCTAGCAAAGCACCTTTCCAAGCTGCAAGCAGATTTTGGGACAACACAATTGCGGGAACTAAGATTCAAAAGCCTACCAACTACAATATCTAGTTTCATGGCGTTGAACCTTGCCCCGCCCCACTTCTTCGTGGTGTAAGTAAGTGCTAGTTAACTCAAGCTGGGACTCTTTATGTTGAGGGCTCCCGGGAGGAAGGGGGGAAGGGGGAATGTGCGCGGAAAATATCTCCGCACGGCCGCACGGCCAGTTTCAGAAATACGTACAGGGTGCGTCACCGCTCCCCTTCCCGGGCACCTCTTTCCAAGTATTTGCTGTACGGGACAATACCCCTGCGTATGGTTTCCTTTGGGTCGGGGGGGGGGGGGGGGGTGCCGGTATCCCTTCGAGGGGGGGGGCATCGGAGCTGTTGGCTGTTATGTAGGAATGGGGAGAATCCAAGGTCATAGTACTCATGTACTAGTTGTACCTATCTAAGCGTCCACCTCCCAGCCACACCCCAAAATAAACACCAAAAACACATGGCAGGCAAAAGCTTGAAGCTTCCCTGGCTTGGGCGAACCCGGCCCATGCCGGCGCCTTTCCGTTTGCTGTACGGCACGTTTAGAGCCGCCTCCAGACAGAGCAAGACCGGTTTCCATTGGGACTGTGGCCTGGTCTTGACATGGACCGCGCTGACGCTTTTTGACCCATCCGACGGGACTCTGAATGACTCCGACATGTCAATCATTGTCAATCCAAGCCATGGCCACCTCATCACATTCTCCCAACCCATCGGTCCATTGTAGTCATTGTAGTCACCATGGTGAAACAGGAGTCCATACTCGAGATCGGGACCCCTACAGTGAATGTCGAGTCTAGAGCGTGAGCCTAGAGCTCAGAATGGCAAAGCCACCTTGTCCGAATACGTACGCCCAAGCGAGTGCGCAAAGCCAGCAAAGCCGATGCAAATGCAAACCCCTTGACGGCCTCATAAATGCTCCTTTTTTATGTTCTTTTATGTGTTCATTCTTTCCAACACCACCAAAACATGAATCCGCCTAGCGACCTCCGACAGCCTAAGGCGGCATCTTGGAGATGCAGCTGAGTGACCCACTGAGCCACGCCACTAATGACACCAAAAGCAGACTCGCAAAACCAAACCACGCAGCAACTAATGACGGACAGGCCACAGACCAAGAAATGGTCATTTGACAGCGCATGGTCGGCAGCCATCTGACAAGGTCGTGGAAGGCACTCCATACTTCTATACTCAACGACTGCGACTCGTATTAGGCTAAGCAGGTTTAACTTTGCTGCTGTCAGGCTGCGACACCTGAGCCCAAGCTGCGCAATGACATATTGAATTTGCGAATCGAAAGTGCACACGATGTTTGGGCCCATCCGAGCGACAACTTCGCGAGACCTCTAGGCGTGTCCAAGCTGAAGTCCAGATGGGCACGGCATGTCGTCACACCTTAGGTGCTGCCAAGAATGCAGTGTCGCGTAAGCCCAGGTATGCATGCTTCTCCATATCCCTTTCGGTTTCGGTTCCCGATCTCAATGGGCCACGCGCTCTCCACGTTGGGACAGGAGTACTGCAACTAATCGAGTGCATGCACATAGGTTGCCCATCGAAGTTACACTTCAAAACTCGTACGAAGCCTAGGCTCTAGATGGGTTAGTAGGAAACAATGCAACATTTCCGGCAGGAAGGCTTGTGACAGCAATTCAAAGATCCTTGAACAGCAATGCTGTTTTGTGCAAGCCTCTTGGGAATGTTCGCCAAAGGCATGGACGCCAGTCACTGACTGTCTTTCTCCAGAACGTCAACAATTCCTTGTGCAACATGTTTTTCAGAGAGGCAAAAAAAGCTGTAAATGCCAGTGTTTTGGGCATAGTCGCCAAATGAATGATGTCTTTATATCCCCCCCGCCTCCCTCCCCTCCCCCTCCCCCTCCTCCCCACCCAGCGACCAGCTGTTGTATTGAGCTGCTTCGGATCCATCGAGGTAGCGTGCCGCATTTTGCATTCACAGTAAGGGCAAGCTCCAACTCTCAAGTAGCAGGGTGGCAGCTTTGCCAAAGGCGGCACCGGTGTTGTCTCATGGTTTCGCGCAAACGCTTCGGCCTCCTGCACCATTCGGATTGTCTCCACAGGGCACCTAATGATGGCTGTACCTTGCGCCATCTTGCGCGCTTTGCCGGCCAAACTTGTCGGGTGCGCTTCAAGCATTTATAGCCAGGAGCATACTTCGGCACACCTTGGAGCATTGAACGGCAACACTCTGGGCAGCTGACGCACCGCAGGGAAGAGCCAAAGCAGCCTCCCCTGCTCTGCCAGACCTCCCCGAAAACAAACCCTCGGGCATATGAACCACGAAACGAAGACGCAAAAAGCGAAGTCTAGGCGCGGCGCCCGCACATTTGCAGGAGGGTGCAGATTGTGGGATAAAGCAAGTGACCTTGGTCAGTACGGTCAGTACTCACACAAAAGCAGAACAGGACATCGTGCTGCTCAGGTTTCATGTCTGGGCTTCCCAACAGTGCAAAGAGTTTCCATCACAGTCGGTCTTGATGGTAATGCCGGTCTGTGTGTCCACCTGCTCAGCCAGGGTACCACATGTGCTGCCTTTCGTGGCTCAAAACAAACGGACCGCAGCGGGCCCTTGACACCAAGTCATTCTCGGGCATAACTGTGAGCGAGCTACGTCGGAGCTCCTAGCACAGACAGAAGTCCCGAAGAATTCCAAAAGCTCTGAACGGCACATCGCTCTCCTGTAGCATGTGCTCCCTGTACACTACGTAGCTGGTTGTGCCAAGCCCTGGGGCCATGAAGGTCAGGGCCTCACAGGGCAGGAGACACTAAAGTTGCTAAAGGAATTACCAGACAGCTTGCCAGACCTTGCAAGAGCATGGGTGTATCGGGCAATGCCTGCATGTGGGCTTTGGCTGCCACCAGCTTTGCCAAGCCACCACCCAAGGAATGGCCAGTAATGTAGAACATCCTCGAAAGAGCGCTTACACACATGTGCTGCACCACGAATCAGTGCAACGCAAGGTGGCATCACAAGCATGCTCCCAATGGCCGTATGAGCACCACAAGCATGCTGCGAGGATGGCGATGGGAGTGGCTGAGAATAGCTACACGCAAACTCTTGGCACCTGTTGGGCAGCTGGGAGGTGCGGTTTTGAACGTGCGCCAACAAATGGGAGAAGTACCTGTGAAATCAGGCGAATCCAGGAACCGATACTACAGCAATACAATACGAGTTGGAATGACTTGTTCATTCCTGTACTAGTGGGGGGTGGATTGGATCGTTGAATTCGCATGGCTGGACAAGGATGCGACAACATTGAATACAGACCGAGCCACCAACATCTTTGCACCCAGCTAAGATACAACACCACTGGCTTTGTGTTCCCTCCAAATGGTCACACTCCCACCATGGTTCCTTTCTCTGCTGCAACCAGGAGCAGGAGAAAGAAAACGAACAAATCCGAAGAACTGCAAAAACTGTTGTACGCACGGAGGAGCACCATGCACTTTTGTCCCAATTGTTCCCTTCCGGAGCCCTTTACGAGTTTGTTAAATTACTAATCTACAAGTTTGCAATTATGTGTGCTATGTGTGCCATCTCACAATCACAACACAACTACTTAAATTTGGCTACTGTTTTAATGTCTTCTATGTGTTCTGTTCTGCTCTCTTGACATTTTGCTTTACTATTCATGGATTTTTGTTAGAGTCGATGAAGGGTTCCTAATCAAGGACCCCAAATGCTTTCTGCATGTCCGAATCTACTTTTGCACATCCGAATCCCTCGCATCTTATCTCGAAAACCTAGAACCAGAAAGGGCTTGGCGAGCAAGGGCATTTCTTGCCCGACTCGCATCGCTTGACTCCCACTGAACCGCTAACCGTTTTCTGCCACCTACCACTTGCCCCCACTGGATGACGACTCCTTTGCCATGAGAGACGCTTCTGTTCAAAGAGGCGGTTTGGGGAAGGCTTGCTTCGCTTGCCGCCCCACTTGCCTAGCTTGAATTACCCCCAGCATTTCTACTAATGAAAACCATATATACAGCTAATACATACATGCATAAACATATATAATTAATAAAAACAAGTATTTCGGGGTTGGGGTGTTCCCGGCAGCCAGTACGCCCGCACAAGAACATGGCAAAAGGGCAAACAACTCACCCACGCAACTGATCGCCAATATCCGACATGCCAAAGTCTTAGGGCACTGTTTCTGCATGCTCTCGCCATAGATCACCGTGGAGAGGAGCGCCACGGACTCGGTACAACAAATTCAACTTCCGCACATCTGCTGCCGAGGAACACGTCACACTGTGAGCTTAACCTCGGCCACAGCGTTGGAAAGCGAAGGGCCTCGGTAGCATCGACAGGAGACAGCATGTGGTCCACGCATATAACATTGCTGCAGTCAGACCAGCGGACGGAGAGAGCCTTTGGAATGGCAACCCCCAAGAGATACAGCAGCCATTGCGGTAGATGCTAGCAAGTCGGCAGCCACACTTTTCGATCAGAAGCCTTCGCGCTGGCAGAAACGAAGGAAATTGATTCCTTTGGCATCTCGGGGCTGGTAGAGCAAGAACATCCTGAGCAGAATGCTGTGATGTGCTGAAGCTGCTGAAGAGTACACGGAGTTTTTGCTCGTCAGGCTTTCAAGTAGCACCCAGACCTACTACAAGTACCGAGCGCCACAGTATGCCGTGAGTGAGACCCAAAACTTGCACTCCCCGTCCTGAACAACCCGTCGTAAGCGCGATCTGCAACCTCATTGATCGCAAGGGGCCGGGAAAAAGAAGAAGAGTCTTGGCTGACCGGGCCTGTTGCAGAGAGCTGCCTTCCGGGATTGGCAACTCCTGAGCCAACCGCCACGTGTTCAAAATGTTCAAAGAGTTTCGGAAATCGCAAAGCTTTGGCCTCATGTGCATGGGGTTGCAAAAACATGGCCAAGGACGCACGCTCATAACCTGCACCACAATCAGATGACAAGGAAGACCGGCGAACTGGAAAAGGAACATAAAGGAACTGCATCTGATGCAAGTTGAACTTGCATTCAATTTTCAACTGCAATCTCTTGATCAATCCAACCTCTGGCGGCCTCCGGCGGCCCGCGAACGCAATGCCTCAGGTACACATCTTTAAGCCAATTCTAAGGGTTGACGTGGTGCATTCGCTGTTTGAACAGAGACGTTCGGGCGGATTGTGCACAAACGTATCTGTTGAGATACCATGAACCCCAAGCAAGCCCTCCCACTCATTCGGGACGGAGTTGCTCCGTTGCATGGTAATGGCCGCCCGAAACCACTTGCAGTGCCTCGCCCACCTGAAAGAAGAGGCACTCGCCAACTCCAGCAGGCATCTGGATCTGCATGATTCGTCCCTTCCTTCCGGGAGGCACACGACAGACACACACTACCCACAGAGAAGGTCCGAAGGTCAAGTGCGAAGCTCGTCACGCGCTCTTCTTTTACATCGGTCCTGTCCCGCACATACAGGCCAACCTGTGGATCCGGGCACTGCAGCCTCTTCCCAGACTGGTCCAAGAAGATGCCAGGCACAAGGGCAGTGAGGAGACCTGTGTCCTGGAGAGAACAAAGAAAGCAACTTGCACACAGATACAAACTCGGGCATCAGGGACGCCCTCGATCAGGACAAGCAGAGAAGCAGCATCACTGGCTTGTCCCTGAAGATCCTTGTGTGGAGGAGCCCACATACCTTTCGAAGCAGCAAGCTGCTTCGGACTTGCGAAGTCCTGAGTTCCATCACATGAGCACAGTGAACACGCACAGGCAAATGCCGGGATGTCCACTTCAGCCAACCAAAAACTCTTGCTGAGCATCATGGTAACATATGAGACGACATTTGTGGTTGCAATTCTCCGCGGGACCAATTAGTCGCGACAATGTACCCACTCGATAGCCTGCGACTGCCTCTGGCTGAGGCAACAGATTACATGCGTACAAGAAGGCAAAGCTCTTGGCAACCGCCTAAACTCTTTGCATGCAGAACCTGGCAAGACTTCTCTCTTCAGCTTGCCTGCGCACAGCGCTCGTCCACTGCCGCCGCCAGCCGTCGAGCCACTGTCACTAACCACCTGATGCAGAAAATCTCAGACCGCGTGTCTCGCTTCATTGCAGACTGTTAGGCTGTTCAACATCGGCTCGGCCGAGACACGGCGCATGGCAACGCGCTTGTTGCCGTAGCTCAGGCAGCTCCTGATACTGAGACATGAGAAATCCAAAACGAGATAAAACTAGCACAACGTACGCACGCATCCGGTTGCAGCACCGAAAAGAACGGAAAACATGAAAAACAATCAACAAATAATGTCTCCATCAGATTCGGCGCATGGCGAATCCCTGATCCCCGTCCGTGTCGGGCCAAAGGTTAGGAGTGTAGAACGTCGGCTCAGCAGGCACATCAGACGGTAGGCAATCTGCCGGATTGTCCAACGCAGGGTGGAAGTAGAAGCCCGTGCGGTTCCCATCAATTCCTGAAGGGGAACTCTGCACGGTCATCAGCTGCAAGACTCTTCAGACTTTCAGAGAGGGCCTCGCGAGTAATTGCTGACATTCAGCGTCCCACGCTCGCGGATTGAATCCTGAGCTTTGCCACTCAACGTTTCAGACGATGGCTTCCAAAAGGACTATCGGTGGGCGTCCTTGGCTTCCTCGGAGAGCTTCCCTAGGCGGGCAGCCAGCGGAAGAAGCTCGTCGCGAAGGCGGCGAACTTCAGCCTGGAAGTCCTGACACACCAGGATCGGGCTGGTCACAACCCACGCGCCCCACTTCTGAACAACTCTGAACAAGCCTGACAGAACCCGACTCTCGCCTCATCACCGGTAACGCAGAGAATCCCAAGGCCGTCTGGGCCAAAGGCTGCATCCAGGGTGTTGCACAAGCTCTCGGAGACCTGCGTCCAAAAAATGGAACAAGCCACACGTTCGTTTTCAGAACTGTTGGTTTCACGACATGTTCAATGCACACAACCCCTGAGCCTTGCGGCATCTTGCGGCCGTGCCACTGGCCCCCCCAACGCCTCCTCTGGCAAAAGCTCCAGCGGGATGCAGGGAACTTCCGCAGCTTGAGACATGGACCCGAAGTCGCCCCGAAAACTGTCTGTCGCGTGTTGCGTTGGACAGCGTACTGTACTGATCTGTGGGTGGTGATCAGGTGATCTGCAGTGTGCTCTGCCAGATCACAGGGATCTAGCGTCCGGATGTTTGGGAAAGTGCAAGCAGTGATGTCTAGAACCAAGAGCTGAACCAGCGATTGTCAACGAAGCTCAGAGTGGCATCTGAACATCTGAACCCACTGATCACTGAGGCTGGGGCCAGCGATGCTGAAGGCTTGCATGATGGCAGCTGGACCCCAAATGTTCAGGTCGTCCTACACAAACACGCGGAGCCCGATATTTTCAAGCATTTCTTGCAGCCGCCGCGCACCAAAACATCGAGCATAGAGTTGGTGCCCCGGATCGCGAACACGATGGTGGTATTCCTGGAAACCGCCCCAGAAACGTCCAAAGAACCAAAGAGTTCTCACGTTCGACTCCGCCGGGCACACAAACGGGGCCCCCACTCAGGATCCCAGAACTCGAAGTACGTGGTCCTGCAATGCAAAGCGAGGGCCAAGGCGTTCACTCCGAACATCCTCTGCACGCACGACTTTTTCCGTCCGGAAACTACAAGAAGGGTGCCATGCGACGCACGTGACACGCTTCAAGCGCAGCTGAACTGCTAAGACTCTGGAGGCCCATCACGGATCAGGAATCAGGAACTTCTCGGCGCTGGCGCTGCCAGATCTTCCGCCAGATCCCCAGCAGCTGAAGCGCCTCTTCCAAGAGGGGTTTCGTGTTGGTCAGAAACGGCTGCTACCTCCCAGACGTGCTGTCAACTTAAGGGGGAAGGGGACTCTTCGCCTGTCTCCACTGGGCGGCCTTCTCACAGGCACTGATGGCAGCGCTGCAGGTGATCCTCGGAGATGTGTAATTGGTGAGGCTTCTTAGGGTTTAAGGGGTTTCGGCCACTGAAGGCTGCCTAACTCTGACTCGGCCGAGTGTCACATCTGCTTCCCCGCTTCGAAAGCAGAAGGAGAACAAACGCAGTGCTGCCTGAACAGGCAGCTACTGTACACGAGAATGTGAGTCCTGGTACCTACACTAGACATTCCTTGCAGGAACTGTCCCACAACTTGCCTTCCAATGACTGGCCTTTTCGCAGGCCGTAATTGCTGCATTGTATGAAATGCTTGTCCTCCTTGGCAAACAGACACAAAATAGAGGCAGATGCTCGACATGTTCCACGTGCGATGTCAGCATCAATTCAGCTGCTCTTCGAAGCTCAGCGTCGCAATACTTGCAGAAGTCATGTGTGCGAAAAGAGCAAGAGCCACTCGCCATCTTGTACCTTGTAGACTAGCTGACTAGCTGGTTCAAGTCGCTTCAACAGATGCTCTCGCTGGGTGCGGGTGCTTCGTTGTCCTCTCTCAGTCTAGGCACTCGTTGCGCAGCTGGTCATCACAGCATTGCACGCAATCGCATTCCTTCCAGCACTTCTATGGGAAGTTACACGAACGTACCCAAGCTTCTATGGAAAGTATGAGAGCTTGGGGGCAATTTTCGTTCTCATCCTGACGCTGCTAGAAAAAGCTACCGAGCTGTCCTTGGAACACTTCGCCGCGTCATCTCTGTACCGAGACCCAAGGCTTGTTGCCAAGCAGCAGCCCTTGCGCAGGCATTGATGGCTGAACTGAAACTTACAGTCGTGGTTCTCAGATTTGCATCCTCCATCTCCTGCAGCGGACACGTTGAATCATGCTGAATCACAAGTTGAATCACGTTGCATCACGTTGAATCACATTGACGCGTGTGTTTGGCGAAGGAGTGCAAGAGAAGGAGAGGTTTTGCAGGGGCCTCCAATCTGAGAACTGCCAGCTGCCAGAGGCTGCCAGAAGCAAGTGCAGCAAGCTGAGCGTTTGCCACGTTTGCCACGTTTGCTGTGGCACTCCGGTGCTGAGGAAGGCCAGAAACTGCGAGCTGGGATAGCTGGGATATGTAAAGCGCGTCAGCCCACAAGCTGGCTTGGGAGCACAAGCTCATGGCATGAACGCAGTGGAACATGTGGAGCGGGATCCTCTGTGCATGCGCCACCCGTAGAAAGTCCACAATGCTGTCAGCTTTCTGCGTGCCACAACGCGAAAGTACATCGGTGGACCAACCACTGTTCCAACATCGCTGCCAGGGTCTGATTGCTTCTTCCAATGCCTGCTTGCGGGATTCCGAAGTTGAAGATAGCGCCAGCCTTCCCGTCTGAAAGAGCACGAGTTACAACACAAACCTAGGCCGGGTCTTAATTGCCCAGAACTTCTTTACGATGCCTAGGCAGATCTGTAGGACTCCCTCTCGACCGAAACTTCGACACAAGCCCCACCGACTTCTGAGTAAAGCAACAGCATGCCATCTAGCCCGAGCTGCAGGAGGTCACGCGGAGGTGGTGGCCTGTGTCTCCGCTCTGCGTACTGGGCTCTGGCACATCGCATGCGCCCAAGTGCACGCAGAGACGACCATCCATGACGCAGCTTAACAAGATCACGCTTCGAGCAAGATTTGAGCCGTCATCCTGCGCCGTTCCCGTGTACTTCTGCTGCCACACTGAGCTTTCCAGCTGATCCAGCTGCACAGTGCACATAAACTTTTTGCGTGGGTTTCAGAGGAGCGCTCAGCCCCATGGGTTGCGGGTGGACCAACAGTACATGGCACAGAAGAGGTTAAACGCAAATGCAAGCTAAACAACAACCGTTCCAAGTAAATTCCCACAGGGGTCACAAACATTACCAAACTGCAAACATGGTACGAGTACATTTTCCACCTGTGCAACCATGTCAAAGAAAACCCTGAAGCAACAGCCGAGAAAGTTGACGCCAGTTGATGTGCCATGCGCTGCACCCACACAAAACCCAGACAGGAAATTGTAGTGGTCACAGCTCACCGACAACGGAACATTGTCATGATGCGAGCTGGTGGCTTCTCACATGCTGCGGGCTCCTTTAAGCCGAGGTCTAGGCTTGACCACTTCTCTGTGTGTGTGCCACTTGTTGCACACACAAATCATGGGGCTCAACGACAGCTTGCAGTACATGTACATTTGCTTGAGCATGCTGTGCATCTTGCACTTGTTGAACATGGTTTCCAGTGTACATCCTACATACCAGGAACTTTGACGTGTGCAGCACCTGCAACAGTTGCCCGTGCAGCATCCTGCACACTGTAGTGCAGCATTGCTACATGGAGCAGTGATATGTGCCTTTGCCATGTGGTTTGCAGCGCTTCAGAAAGGAGCCAGCTGGGCATACTCCGTGAAGCAAAGGAATTACTTCATTTTTGAGATATTCACATTATTCATTCTTCTATGCCTCGTCACCCTACCTTTTCTTCTCCTACATCCTCGGCTCTTCTCCTTCTACGCGTGGGACTCAACAATCCGACAAGAGTGTCTGTGCGTGTGTGTGTGTGTGTGTGTGTGTGTATGTGTGTGCGTGTGTCTCTGTCTGTCTGTGTGTGTCTCGGTCTGTCAGTCTGTCTGCCTTCCTCGGCCTGCCTGCCGGTCTGTCTGTCAGCCTGCGTCTTCGTGGGTGTGGGTGTGGGTGGGCGTGGGTCTGTGGGTGTGGGGGTGTGGGGGTGTGGGGGTGTGGGGCTGTGGGGCTGTGGGGCTGTGTGGGTGTGGCTGTGTGGGTGTGTGGGTGTGTGGGTGTGTGGGTGTGTGGGTGTGCAGGTGTGCGGGTGTGCGGGTGTGCGGGTGTGCGGGTGTGCGGGTGTGCGGGTGTGCGGGTGTGCGGGTGTGCGGGCGTGCGGGCGTGCGGGCGTGCGGGCGTGCGGGCGTGCGGGCGTGCGGCTGTGTGTGGCTGTGTGTGGCTGTGTGTGGCTGTGTGTGGCTGTGTGCGGCTGTGTGCGGCTGTGTGCGGCTGTGTGCGGCTGTGTGCGGCTGTGTGCGGCTGTGTGCGGCTGTGTGTGGCTGTGTGTGGCTGTGTGTGGCTGTGTGTGGCTGTGTGTGGCTGTGTGTGGCTGTGTGTGGCTGTGTGTGGCTGTGTGTGCCTGTGTGTGCCTGTGTGTGCCTGTGTGGGCCTGTGTGGGCCTGTGTGGGCCTGTGTGGGCCTGTGTGGGCCTGTGTGGGCCTGTGTGGGCCTGTGTGGGCCTGTGTGGGCCTGTGTGGGCCTGTGTGGGCCTGTGTGGGCCTGTGTGGGCCTGTGTGGGCCTGTGTGGGCCTGTGTGGGCCTGTGTGGGCCTGTGTGGGCACAGCTGGTCACTGGTCGGGAACTAAAATTGAATGACAAGGCCAAAGAACACACGTCGCCCATCCCACAACATCCAACGACTGACCCTACACCACCACAAGCAGGACAAAGCCATACGGGTCCAGTCTGAGCTTTCTCCCTCGATGGCTGTCGTATTGATACCTCCAGATGAAAAAGTCTGCAGCGCTCTCCCTACTGAAATGTCGACAAAGCCTGCACGGCGCGAGGTGACCAAGTGCCACCCCGGGAAATAGCCTCAGAACGTCTGGGACCATTTGTTATCCACCAATCAAGCTTTGTCACATCCATAAACACAAACCACCAGCGACTTGGAACTGTTGTAGCAGGACTGGGCTGACAACGCTGCAGCCCTTTGCGTAGGCCATCCTGTGCACGGTTGCGGCCAATTCTCCATTGCCTTGATTTCCTATCGACACAGCCTCAGACTCGTAAGCCAAGGCCGAAAACAGGGCGAAATCGCTGACACTGAGCAGGTGCTGCCTCTCAGGACGGGTTCAGTTTCTTCGCATGCGCCGTGGATGTGCTGTGGATATGCGGTGGATGCGTGCAGTCAACTAAAAGAAAAAATTGCTAGGCTGCCAAACTCCTGCAATTGACCTTCCTGACGAACCTTCTGCTTGGATCCGCACCCACTCTCTCCATAATGGAAATGCCGGTCACATTCCAATGGCAGGGAGACGTTGGGAGGTTTGTACGGCACCTGCCCCGTCGAGCCAATGGGCTGCTTCAGAATTGAACTAGCATGCTGCGGACTGCGATGGCACTGCGGTGCACCTCGTAGTACTTGCAGGTAGCATCTCCTTCCCTGCAGAAAGCAGACCAGTTGCTGTCGACGTTGACAGTGGCCTGGCATTGCCAAGGGCAGATCACAACAGGGTCTCCCGATGCGCACACAAGCAAGGCAGACAATGGAGAGAAGGACCACGCCAACCTCAACTCTCAAACATTCTCAAAAAAAGAACAGCTGCAACATGGCTAGAGACAGCTGTCGCAAAATCACACAGCCCATCTCGAGCTTCTGGCAACTACCACCAGCACACTGTTCAGAAGCACAGCTGTGAAGCGAGCCACGTTGACGCCTCCGCATACTTTGCTACACCACAACATTAGCAACATGAGGGTCACATAAAGTCATCATCTTCGCACACATGACTTCGCACTCTAAGGTTGCCGCCACGGACATAAACACGGCGCAAGCCCAATCTCAGAATGATGGCTCGCTAAAGTTCCAAGCAGCTTTGCTCTCTTCAACTAAAGGGCTGGTGGGAAAGCGCAAAGATGAAGGTCATGACTCCCCAGCGCTGACCCAACCTCAAGTACACGCCAAATCTCGCAAAATACGTTCCAAGCAATGCAGCCCTCAGGACAAGTGCGGGTCAGCACAGGTCCCAGCCCTGCGTTCAGGGCCGTAGCCAGGGCTGCATGCCCAAATCCCAGCAACAGTCCTGCAGGAGAGTTTTGCCGTCCAACTTTCGCCAGAGCTCAACAAAGAACATGCACGCTGTGATCTGAGCAGACACATGCGATAGATGAGATGCTCCTTTTCATCTGTTCATCTCTCATACCATCAACGCTACACTAGCTGGTCTCTGGGCTCTATACAGGAGGCTGTACAAAATTGGTTGGCCTAGGAGCAAAGGAGAGGAGTTCTTTCAGCCCAGCTGCACCTCTGACTCCAAGGTACTTCTGTCGCTTTGTGGCAACATTGTAAGTTTGACACTCTGGCAAAGGAGCATGGAGAAACCAAACTGCAAATCCAGATCTTGGGTTGTGGTGAGTGACAACTGAAGCGCTAGATGCCGCCTTGCATCACTCCAGGCATCTCTTTCATGGCAGCAAAATAAGTCTTACGAGTTCTGCTTCCATAGGCCGCGGGGCCTGGTACTGTCGTATCAGCGAACTGCTCTTCTGTACCCTGAGCTTGCACGGCGAACTCAGCATGAAATCCTACTCGTCGTCACAAGCACTCACACGAATTTCCTGTAGCCTGTAGCCGGTATCTCTTGCCGTCACTGGTGCCAGCACTGCCCAGCAGAGCCTGCTGACCCTTCAAGCCAAAGCTTCTCAGCCGAAGCGGCTCTGCTGTGCCAGAGAACATGCCACAACATCTCACCTCCGCCCATCTAAAGGGCAACAATGCTAGTGCAGGCCCGATCGCCACCTCTAGACCGTGCCCGTCCTGACAAGGACAGTTCTGCAACGTGCCCTGCGCTTGTAAACAGGTCGGTGCAGAAGTGGAGCCTCGGGAGGTACTCACAACAACTCATCCAAACTCGGCATGGCTCAACTACTTCTGTTCTGTACATGAAAGACCATTCTGACGGAGCCACTGAAGTTCCAACAGCGGCCCGAGCAAAGCAATGGCAACTAGCCAGGCATTCCCAGAACGTATTTCAGGGATGCCCCCCAGATGATGACATCTGCCTCTTAAAATGAACCTCTTCGCACGAACACTGTCGACGCTCTGGCATGCAACAGGCATCTTCTTCCCTGTTTCCCGGGCACTGGCGGGCGAGTAGGCCGGCCAAAAAACAAAAAACACTGGAAAGTACCGGCAACCCCAAGCTGCAATACTGCTGCAATAGTCACGTCTGAGACATAACAACGCCACGTTTTCAGATGCCGATCCACAGGGTCATACAGATGCCGCCGCATGCGAGAACAGACCAATAGCTTGAAACCTGTACTGGCGCTGCACACAGGCTTCGGCAAACTGGCCATGAAAACAGTGAAGGACTGCGTCATTTCGAGCGAAGGTTCACACTGAAACCAACATGGTCTCCAACGCACATGACTTCTCAGGAACTCTTGACGTTTACTCACAAACTCACCACCTCCACGCGTGCAATCTGACGATCTGCAAGTAGCAGCCCGGAAGCTGCATGCTCAATATTGTCAATGTGTGAATGATATTGACGGCATCTGGCAGCGATGTTGGCAACGCGGCTTCCGGCAAGGCACTGGGCGACACCACGCTTCATCTCTGATGGTGCGGAAGAGTTGTGCCGTCATTGGAGGCGGGGTGCATTGTCGAGCCCTGTCCCGGCCGAGGGCACAGTTAAAGCCATCATCTAGACCATACTCAACAGTGACAAGCATGCACAAAGACCTGCACCGCACCGTGTGGCTTCGTCACACCACATGACCCAAGCTCCACGTCGCGCAGAGACTTCAAGAAATGAGAGCCCACTGCAGCTCCACAGCAAGGACCCCCCTACCCCCTACGCTCTCACATTACAAGCACCACGCTCTTTACACTGAGGCGAATGCAAGCATTGCATTCAAGCCCCTTGCACCTGAGCTTTAAACATCAATCAATCTGGAGTGCATGTTGCCCGTGCATCAGAAGACGGTTGAAAACCGCGCATACCAACAACTCCCGGATCTGAGATCTGCCGACAACATCCGGAACATCCGGAAACGGTCTTGCAAGGCTCTCGCGCAAGGCTCGTGCAAATCGTCCTGCCAGACCTCTGGTCTAGCAGTGAGTGCAAGTGGTCCAACGCCAGAACAAGGCAGGGAGTGAAACATGAGTCAACAGTATGCCGCTGGCATGTGAGCCATGCAGCTCTCCATGTTTCTTTGTTTCTTTGCATTTCTTAGCCTTGCCTCGCTCTGCGCTTTTGGCATCAAGCTATGCACAACGCTGTGGAGCCAAAGGGATGACGACTCGTGATGACCAAGCACAGTCTCTGTTGGCCTTCCGTGATGTGTAGATGCTACCATAGTTAACCTAGGTGCTCTGCCCAAACTGCGCACTGGCATCCCACCAAATGGGAAACACAGGCGCGGCCCGTGTGATCAAAGCTGGGTGACACAGTGGATGAATGACTCCAGCAACCTGGTGACACAGCCTGATATTCCTGCTGGAAGCTATCCGAAATAAATCTCAAGCTGAAATGTTCTGCAATCTTGCCATGTTCCAGCAGGGCGCGGCTCCTGACTACAATACTCGGATCCCAGGTACCAGCACTAAGCCGCGCAGCCTGGGGTACATACTAGTTGGGGTCATCGCATTGGACGAAGCAGGACAAGGGAACGAAAGAAAAGCGTGGAAGCACGAGAGCGTCGCGATCCCTGCATTGTCCATTGGGAAAGCAACTCTCAAGTCTGTCCAATTCGTCCCACTTCATCCAACCCTATTCCGACATCCTCTAAGCAGTGTGCAAACGAAAAACATCATCCCAAAAAACGATGATGTCCGATGTGAAGGCTGCAGGAATCTGCAGAGGTATCTGCAGAAGCTTCCACAACTCAAAGGATGCCATCTCTCAAGCTTTCACACTCAGCTCCACCTCCAAGACACCACCTCATCAGATTCTTCCGCCAAATCTGCCCAGCTTACCCGGGCCCTCGCCACACCTGACAGCTGTTGGCTTGGTGCTGCCAGCCGCATCTCCTCCTCCTCCTGAATTGCAGAACTTGAAAGAATACCTCCTGCCTCGGTGGACCCTAGAGTGTAATAATGTGTAATAGAGTGTAAGCCTTACAGCTTTGTGACCGTACCAAGACTGGTTCTGCGTCCGCTCTACAAGCGCAAGACAAGCTCGGCAAGACTCTCGGCAAGCCCCGGCCTCCTCTGCGAGGTCGGCCCACGACACCTTCGCTCCGGCAGACTTGGTGTTCTTGGTATCGAATTTGAAGTTCGCCGCTGCGACCGCTGCGACTGGAGACTCAAAGCAGCTGAGTGCCGGCGAACTTGGAGAGCTGGTGTCGGAAGAACCTGGACCGAACACCGACAATAAAACAACATCACACGAAAGCCTTGAAGGACCTTAAAAGGATGACAGAGCCGGAAACCCAAAAGATGCTGCGAAATGAAAGAGAGCGCCGAGGGACATGACCTCGGGGAGTCGCAGTCGAAGTCGTCTCTCGGCTGGCGGCCCTCGAAGACCCAATCCGGCAGACCAAGGCTTCCGAAGGCGCCGGCGGTGGAGCCGTGAAAACCGTGAGAACCTTAGGAGACAAATACTTGCTCAGCGTTAGCCCAGGCAGAAAAAAGGATCCTTTTTGCAGCAAATATGTCTTTGCACAGAACATAGTCCGCGTATGAGACTTAAATGAATAAGCCTTGCAAGATTATTGAATTATGTTGAAGTGAGACTTGAACTGCAAGGCAACAAATTATGCTACGTGCTAAAGGGAAGCAAATGCTCCAGGAAAGATGTGCTACATTGAATGATGTACTCTAACTTCCCTAAGTCCCTGCAACCCTAAACATTACAAACTTGCGCCGCTCAGTCTGCAGTGCTTGTGCCTGGCAGTGGCAAGAGGAAGGTTGGAGTGAACACGCATCTCACCTGACACTCTCAAGCCCCGTGAACCTTCTGAAGCTCTTGTAATTTCATGAAACACTTCATCTTCCAAGACTCATCAGGAAATCCTACTAGCCTGCATTTACACCCAGACACCCAAGCCCGAAGCCTTCAAAGCCCTCAGAACTGGAGGTTTCGGGTGTCGGGCTTCGGGCCTTACAAAAACCACCCAGAACCCATTCAGGGTTTAGGGCTTTCAACGGCCCAGAACCAAGATCCAAACTCCCTAATTTCTTTGAACACTCGCCTCAACCCTCAACCCTCAAACTCCACATGCAAAAGCCAATCATTTGGCTGGTGTGCCTCTTCATGTCCTCTGCCAGGCGAGCGGAGCGGCTGTTCCCGCCTTTGCGGCGTTTCCCTCCTTAAACCCTAAACCCTCAACCCGAAACCCTAAACCCTAAACCGGCTTCAGGCACGCGGGTTGCGTTCGCTGTCCTAGCCATTGCGTTGTCCGTGTTAGAAGAGGGCGTCCGAGGGCTTACCCCAGAAGGGTCCATGCACCTAAACGGGGTTTGGGGTTTAGGGTTTAGGGTATAGGTTTTAGGGTTTGGAGTCCATGTACCTAAATGGGGAATACTTGGGGCCTTTAAGTACTTGCTCTATAGGGACTTCGGGGCCCGAGTATATATTAATGAGGTAAATAGATGTTCAGGGCTACTTGCAGGTTCAGGGCCCTAAGCCATATAAGTAGGTCATAAGTATAGACTTCTAATTGGGGTATAAGTACCCATGAGCCTCCAAGTAGGGTTTACGAGTATGCTTCGGTCTTGAGGGTGTGGAGGGGGTGCAGTGGTCCACTGAGTTGATGACACACCCTTCCCCGAAACCTTGTTCCTGAACCCTAAACCCTAAACCCCAAATCTCAACTTCTTGCACAAACGGGGGGTGGGGGTGGGGTGTGAGACGTGGCGAGTTTGGGCACCCTCAATCCTAAATCGCGGAGCCCTCCCTAGGCCCCAATATGCTATACTCATACTTCAGTCTAAGGGTAACAACGTGGTCCCTTTAGGGTTGAAGAAGGTTTTTGCTCTTACTATGGAATTCGGGAATAGGTACCTTGGAAGAGCCTTGCAAGTAGGAAGGATGGTCAGCTCTTCTTGGTTGGAACCAGAAATACCAAACCCAAA